AACTAGCCAAAGATGGTTTTCTAGTCAGAATCACCTCTCCTGGGGCATCTGGGTGGCTCAGTGGTTGAGCATCTGCCTTGGCTCAGGGCATGATCCCGGGGTCCTGGGATCGAGTCCCACATCAGACTCCCTGCATGGAGTTTGCATCTCCCTCTGCCTGTGTCCCTGCCCTCTCTCTCTCTCTCTCTCATGAATAAGAGTCACCTCTCCCTCTGTGACAAGGAGATATAAGGCCAAAGAAGACTCAAGGACTTGGGGAAAGAACCCTCTTCATAAAATAAGAATTATGCTCCCTGACCGTGTCCCCTCTTTCCACTATTATTATGCTGAAGAGGACAAAGCCAAAAATAACAGAGAGCAGCTCAGGAGGCTTGAAGCACTAGACGGTAAAAAATATTAACAATTTTTCAGATGATACAGCCACTGGCTTGCCTTTATAACCTGCAACCTTCATAGCATCCCCACCCCTGTGCCAAATGAGAATTGTTTCATAGGAATGATGGAAAACCTGCTCCAGCTGGGCCAAAAGCAAACACTGGAATGTTTGCTGATGTGCTAAAAGGCTGTAGGGAGACAGATTTCAGGTATGACCTGATCCCGGGATCACTTGATATGACAAGGGCCTGGTTTCCGTTCCTCAGCTCTGCTGGCTCAGTGCTGCCTGTTCTCCTCCCGCCCTGGTGGTTACAAGACCATTCCCAGAAGCCACCATGGGCTCCTCCCTCCAGGTGCAAACCCATTAGAAATGAGCGAGTCAGCTGCCCCAAGACTTCAAAACAAGAGCCCAGGAACTGAGTTTCTTTACCCATGAGCTTGTCCGGAGGTCAGACACCATAGCCGGGGGGGGGGGGGGGGGAGAATGCCGAGTGGCTTAGCTCAGGCCCTGTGCTCCCGGGGCACCCACCTCACCAGAACTCAGATGCAAGTGGAGGGAAGGGCAGCTCGCCCAGCAAAATCAGGGTTTTGCTGCCAAAGGAAGATAGTTAATTATGGGCAGCAAAAATAGCAGCGTCCACAACAAATCTTGTGAGGTTGGAATTACTGTTCTCACCGTACAGATGAGAAAATCAAAGGCCCCAGCTGTTAAGTGATTTGCACAAAACTCATAGAACTGGGAAGTTGCACGGATTGGATTTAACCTCAGTAAGGTGTGGACTAAGGATGAGTGGGTGCTTCCCTGGTAGACTGGAGCAAGGGGGGCGCTCTAGGCAGAGGTTTGGGAAGACACAGTTGCACGGATGCTTGGAGGGCAAGCAGCTTTCTTTTCTTTTCTTTTTTTTTTTTTTTTTTTGAACCATCCAGGAAAATATTTTTATAAAACTTAATCCTGAAGATGCATCATGTTTGGGAATTGGTCAAGAGGAAATCTGAATCTTCAACCATTTCAGAATGGCTTTACATAGCCCCCACCCCCACCAACACTTTGGTCCCCATCATTTATCTGGGAAATGGCCCAAAAGAGATCATTTCCCTTCTGGGGCAGTAGCACCTAGTAGTCAAACTTCCTCACTCCAAGCTGCTTATATGGGGGGGGGGGGTGAGGGAAGTGGGGTTAGGCTCATGGTCCACTGTTATAAACTGCAGCTGATCTGAAATGCCAACAACAGCAATGAGACCCTCCTGAGACAGAAGGGGCTTTGGAAGGGAAGGGCAAGCAGCTTTCAAGGAACTTCAAGTCGTTTGCAAAATTGTCAGACGGTGCAGCAAAGAGCTCAGTCTGGTGTCAGAGGGATCGGGACTCTGTTATTTACCAGCTAGGGGACCGTGGCCAAGGACGTAACTGCTCACACCTCACATTCATCATCTGTAATACACGCTTCATGGGGTTCTTGGGAGGAATAAGCCAGAGAACATAATAAAGGGGTGGGGACAGCGCCTAGCACACAGTATTGTGCTGATGATAGGTTGGAGAAGGTGATGAATGGGAAAGATGGTAGGAAAATAAGCTCAAAAAATAACCATGAGCCAATCATGCCAAGATACGGATTTTAGATTTTATCCTCCAGAAAATGGGGAATGATGGAAGGATTTTGACCAGAGGGATGGCCTTCTTAGTTTTTCATTTTAGAAGGATCACTCTGGTAGCAATATGCAATTACAGCAGTGGGGGTCTAGGGAAGACTATTAAAATAGTTAGATTGACCGGTGGTTGCCGAATCTAGCTCAGTGTTGAAATTACTAGGATTTTGGTTTTAATGCAGATTTCTGGACTCCTCAGGGATGGGGAGACATCTGGGCTGAGGGATCAGCAAGTTTCCACTCAGCCCTGTTGGTCTCTTAAGGAAACTGATCCAAAAAGAAAAAAGAAAAAAAAAGGAAACTGATCCACCTTCCCAAGAATCAGCATTGCCTAAAGGAGAACTAGGATTACAGCAGGAATACAAATATTAAGAATAGTCAACTCTCTAGTTTTAACTCCAAGATTCTTGAGACCCCAGGGGGCAGAGTGGGGCCATGGATAAGGAGTGGGGGTGCCGGAAGAGGTGAAGAGGACGGGATGGAGCATGACTTTTTAGGTCATGAGTCTGACCAGAGCTGAGCACCAGGAAAGATGTACTCAGGTTCAGGAGATGGCCCACTGGGAACCTCCTGGAAGCTGATCCAACCCAACATTTGCCCAGTCCCCATTCAGTCCCTATTTGTTTGGCCACAGGCCGCCTTTGTGAAAGAGCTACTGCCTGGCTCTGTCTGCCTACTTTTAGCCTCCATCCAGAAGGGCTTCCCATCCACAGCTGTATCCCAGCGGCTCTATGACTCTAGACTTTGCTGACTTCGAACTGCTTTGTGTGGGCAATAGATAATAGTCATGTCAACGGGCCAAACACTCATGGGCCACTGCATTTCCATCTTATGGATGACCCATAAATCACCCAACCATTTCCCTTGTTCTCAGATGCTTACATTCTTTCCAAATTTCTATTAATAAATTTACTGCAGTGAAAATTTGCCCACAAAACTTTTACGGCTATCACTTCCAACTCTAAAGTATCTAATACTTTTCGAAGAAACCTGGTAATGGTTATTTTTCTGAAGTTTGAGTTCAAATCTCAAACACTACTTTCTTCTCAAAGGTTGCAATTCGAGATCATCTGGTAACGTTTGATACAGTTCACCATTGAGCAACTCCAGGGTTAGGGGCACAGTCAAAAATCCACGTACAACTTCTGATTCCCCCAAAACTTAACTACTAATAGCCTGTTGACCAGAAGCTTTGCTAATAGCACAATTAACACATATTTTGTATGTTATATGCATCATATACTGTATTCTTATAATAGAGAAAAGAAAATGTTGGGGGAATCGTAAGAAAAATGTATTTACAGTACTACACTGTATTCATCAAGTGAGTCCACATAAAAGTGGACCTGCAGAGTTCAAATCCCTGTTGTTCAAGGGTCAACTATACCTGTTGATGATTTTTTAAAAAACTCTTAGCGAGCAAAGAATGAAAAGTAAGGGGGATCCCTGGGTGGCTCAGCGGTTGAGCATCTGGCTTTGGCTCAGGGCATGATCTTGGAGACCCAGGGTCGAGTCCCGCATCAGGCTCCCTGCCTGGAGCCTGCCCCTCTCTCTCTCTCTCTCTCTCTCTCTGTGTGTGTGTGTGTGTGTGTGTGTGAATCATGAATAAATAAAATATTTTTAAAAAAAGAATGAAAAGTAATTTCTTTAACCTGATGATACCTACCAGAAACCTCAGTAAACTTAATGGTTCCCTTAAAAGTCAGGAATGAGCTATAAATGCCATCACTGCTCTAAGGGTGGCAATTTGACAACATACAGGACCGAGAAATGTTCATCCTTTCTGACCCCGTACCACCATCTGGATGAACATACCCCAAGGAAACACGTAAGGCTCTCGGTGAAGACAGAGGTATTAAGGCACGCCCCAAGAACTGCCTGCACACTGGAACCACCTGTTTGACAACAAGGCTCTGGTTCTGTGAATTCTGGCATGAACAGGTGATGGCACCCGAGGCACTGAAAGTGATGCTGTTGTGAGAGCATTGACTGGAAAGACAGCTTAGTCTACCTCCGTGTGTGTGTACACGCGTGCACAGACAAGAGCATACTGGAAAAGCCCATACCAGAATACTGATGATTCCTTATGCTCTCTGCAAATTTTCTTAAAATACATGCTACTTGGGCAGCCCTGGTGGCTCAGCCCCACCTTCAGCCCTGGGCCTGATCCTGGAGTCCCGGGATCGAGTCCCACGTCAGGCTTCCTGCATGGAGCCTGCTTCTCCCTCTGCCTGTGTCTCTGCCTCTCTCTTTCTGTGTCTTTCATGAATAAATAAATAAAATCTTTTTAAAAATACATGCTACTTCTTCAATTAGAAAAAACCACATATTTTAAATGCTGCCTCAAAGGATGGCTGTAGGCAGCAAAGAAAGTGGCTCAAAAAGGGTAAAGGGAGACTTTATGAGGGGAGCAGACTGCAGCTGTGCACATGACCCCAACTCCCTGTTCATCCAAAATCCATAAGACCAGGGAGCTAGGCTACATTCTTACTGTTCCATTTTATTAAAACAAGGGTAAATGACTAATCTAAAAGGGGGATCCCCGGGTGCTCAGCGGCTTAGCACCTGCCTTTGGCCCTGGTCATGATCCTGGGGTCCGGGGATCGAGTCCCACGTTGGGCTCCCTGCATGGAGCCTGCTTCTCCCTCTGCCTGGGTCTCTGCCTCTCTGTTTGTGTCTCTCATGAATAAAATCTTTTAAAAAAATCTAAAGGTGAATTTTACACACACATGTACATTCACACACACGTTCTTCAAGAAACTCTCCGTTTTTTCATACTCACGAACCTGCTATTCTGCAAAGTTCCTCAAAGGTCATGAGCCATCCAGTCATCAGGTCGGAGGAGATGGAGCTTATTGGGCTGGTTCCCTGGGTCATGTGACCAAGGTGGGGGTGGGGGAGTCGAAGGGGAAGGGGAAGGGGAAGGCCAATGTCACAACAGTATCCCCTGCACGCGCTCAGAGAGAAAACGGCACACCAGCTACAACAATGAGAATCTTTATGCACAGGTCTGTAATCAGTACAATTCATCGGAACAACAATAGAGACCCGGAAAAAAAGGAATACATGGTTTCAAACAGTGACAGCCCAGAGGTCAGCATTACCAACTAGGTGTAAATCATCTGGAGGCTTTTGTAAGAGGATGGAGGTGCAGGAGGTGCAGAAGCGTCGGAGTCCACTCCGTGCACAAGGCCCGACCAGGGACAGGGCTAAAAATAAAGAAACGGCCACTGGCAAGTGCTTCTGGTGCTTGCACCCAGTGTCCAGGGCATGGCGAGGATGATGAGTCCAGGCTGGTCTTCGCACATGCTGCGTGCTAGCAGCTACTGCACACGTCCCCGTTTTCTAAAGTAGGCAAGGCTCCAAAATTAACCGATTCACGCTGCGATTACATGGTAGGATGCATGCACGTTATTGGTACAGAGAGTGCTTTGACGGAAATCCGTCGGTTTTTAAAATCCTGACAAGGCCATGGTGCCCCCCCAAAGAGCTAGCATCCTTTCATTTCCTCATTCTTTCATTTGGGATCCATACTTACTCCAAAGCATGTGCCATCTCCTTTATCCCTCCTCCAGAAAGACCAACCCCAGGGAATGGGGCGGAGGGGACACGTGCTGCTGAGGCTAAGACACCCCGCAGACAGCAACAGCACCATCCTAAGGACGGTGGCAAGGGGCCTCCACCCCCCTCCCCATCTCCCTGAACCCAGATCCTTGGGGGAGCAGAGAGCTGACTCAAGAGAAGAAGGAACAATAGTCTATTCGAGGCGGGCAACCCCCAAAGGGATGAATCTATTCTGACTCACGTGGACGGGGGAGGAGGAAAGAATAGAAGGTGGCATCATTGTTATCTGTAAAGTTTTAGCAGATGGAAGAAAATCATGTCATGTGCTTAACTTTGGAAACTCAGCAGAGGGTCCCATTCCCTGGGGGTGGAATGCAAAGCAAGCCCAACATTCCACCTACGCCCTTCCCAAGACAGGGGTGGTGGGCACGGCTGCTTTTTAAGCAGCGGCATGCTAACTTCAGATGGCACAGAATTCCAGACCGAAACCGCAATGACTTTTTAGTCATATTTTCCATCTTCAGTTCCTTTGGGGGTATAAATACCACAGAAGGGATTAAATGGCTTTTCTCACTGTATGTCATTCTTGTGTTTTCTGTTCAAAAGAGCCCACACAACCACATTCTCCATTATAAAAATTAATACCTCTCGTAGTAAAAGCCCTCTCTAAAATTATAGCTTTGGTTTCAGGATTGGCAATCCAATTAGCTCAAATTCGCATCGACTGCATCAACAATATGCCTGCAAGCGTGGCCAAGGTCTTTCAGAGATGAGGATAAAGACGCTGAGTCTATGCTTCCAATGATAGTAAGAGAAGGGGACTGAGGAGTGAGACTTTGTTCAAACAAATGACAGCTGCACAAAGCATCTTTAAAATGCACTACCTTTTTGGGTCGAAAGGTTAGAGCTGGTTTTGTGAAATGCCATCACAGGCCTCTATGACATCTGGAGAAAGGTCCTCTGAGTCTGGAGGGAGCGTAGTGAATGGCTTTCCGGGCTTGGTTTTTAGAACCTATGTAGCCAATGCATCTGTGCACAAAGAGCATTCAATCCGCCTATTGTACCGGGGGACACGTGACTTAAGTCACGCTGAACAACCAGGAGTATTTACCTTGAGTGTCTGAAGTGCTGCTTCACCTCCGTTGTGACTCAGAGCTCCCATCTGCATAGTGGAAAGAACAGGTACTGTCTCTGACCCGCTGGGACCGGGGGAGAGGTGGGTAAGAGAGAGCTAAAAAGCACTAACGCCTTCTCCAAAGAAAGGCAGTGTTCAAGTAACAAAGTACTCCACAAAGTACTCCAATCAAAGAAGCACAAAATTCAAGTAACAGAGTGGCAGGTGCTGTGTTCTGGCTTTTGAGCAGCAGAGGCCTCGCCGCATCTGCCGTGAAGAGCTGGTGGGTAAATGAGCCGCGTGGACCAGCTCCGTGGAGAAGCCACCAAGTCATCCTACCACGGAGGACCATGACTCTTCTGAAGAGGAGAGAATGAACCTTGGGAAAAGCTTAGTGGAATCAGCAAGCTGCTCAGGGCGATTGTTTAATGCATATCCAGTGTGTGTTCTCTGCATAAGATCTTCAAGTTGGTGGGCCAACCTAAATTTCAACAGATAGAGGTTTTCTTCATTTTGCAGGTAGAAATACAAAGAAAGGCTATCTATATTTTTCTCTTGCACTTCAGCATAAGAATTAAAAAAAAAAATCTTAAAACTGGCTGAAGGGAACTATTAAAAGACAAACTCACACACACAAACATTCCCCCAGTGGGGCAGGAAGAGGAAAACTGGGAAGTTTTTTGTTTTTGCAACTAAGACACTTACTTCCTTTTCACAGTTTCTGTTCTAGCAAGCTAGTGTGTGCATGCTTGAGGATCGGTTAACACCCAGAGAACCAGAAGGTTTGGGGGAGCGGTGTCCCAGGGACCGCGAAGGTTCTCAGAATGGGAAGGAGGAGGAGGAGGGGTCGATAGCCTAGAGACACGGTTGTCTAAACAACTCACAATGAAAAATTGGGAAAACTTCACACTTTAAAACTACGGTATTTATTCTGGCCACAAGAATTTGCTGGATCAGTTATGGGTGGGTGGGGAAAACACACCCCGTTCTGGCTCCCCTTAGGAAAGGCCCATTTCCCATGTTTACGGATTGGTGTTCATCTCTGAACCGATCTACTCGTTTCCATTGGACAGCTACGACTGTCTCGGAGCCATTCAGCTGGAACCCCTCCACCGCCAGGAGAAGGTGCATCTACGTGGAGCTTGAGGCCCGTCACCGTTTCTTAGTGCTGCTGTTGCCGCCACCAGACTTGCTGAAGCTCCTGCTCATGTGGGGAAAGTGCACGGTTGGGGTTCTTTCCGTAGGACCATATAACCCCAAATTCCTGGCAGTGGCTGACTTGCGCAGTGGTTTGACGCTGGGGAAAGGGCTAAAGAGGGGCGCTTTCGGGTGGCCGCCCTGGGCGGGTCTGCTGGCGGCTTTGTGCTCACCAGGGGCATCGGGCTCTGGGAAGTGCTGCGGGCAGGGCGGGCGTGCCTTGGGCTCAGGGTCGGCAGCAGCATCCCTCTGCTTCAGCTCCAAGGCCTCTAACTTCACCTGGACCGCAGACACGTCGGCGTCGGCCTCCCCAAAGGGTGGCTCCGGAGACTGTCCTTCAATCGTCCTCCCGGCGCTGCCTTCAGAGCAGCTGCCGTCTCCTCCTCCAGCTGTGGCTGCACAACTGGACGGACCCTCTGCTGCCCCCGGGCCGCTCGTCTTGCCACCCTCGCTCTGCTCCTCTATCAGCCCAACGGTGTCCCCGCAGCCCAGCTGACTCTTGGTCCTCGTCATGTTCTTTTTGTGGACTCGGATGTGGGTCCGCCAGGGCGAATTGAGCTTTGTCTTGAGGTCTTCATAGGGGACAGGAGATGTCTTGCCTCCCGTGTGACCGGGGATGTGGATGACCGCGTTCTTGGCAGGCCTGTTGGACATTTTCATCTTCTTTCCTAGAAGAAGGTGGTTGATGACTGGAGAGTTGTTTACCTGAGACGGGAGAATGCTGGTCACTGGCCCTTTGTCTGGAAGAAATGGTGAAAGGTTGTGTGAAACGCACCGCAGAGGACCCGGCCGTCGGGGCGCAGGAGTCACGCGGGGCTTGGCCCCTCCAAGCCCACCCAGGTCTTGCCCCGGTTTGGACAGAGTCACGTGACTGAAGGCAACAAACACTGAATTCAACTGTAAAGCCTGGACTACCTAAGTCCCTCCTCTTCAAAGAGGAGGACAAAGAGGCCGAGGATACGGAATGGGCAGGCTCGCTGAAGTGCGGACACCCTACTGTTCCTTAGCACGAGTTTTGGTCTCCGAGAAACCACCTCAGAGGTCTTGTTTCTAGAAATGCTTAGAAGGCATTTTTAAAAATAAGTCAAACTCCATGACCATATGGATTATCAGCTGTTAGCTTCGGAGAGGTAGGAAAAGAACACCCGGTGCATTATGGAGTGAGAGACAGCAGGATGAGAGAAGTGAGAAGAAGGTGGTAAAAACTCAGTGAAGTCACTGCTCCCTGGCACCTGGTCCTAAGAGGGGAAAAGCGCTCCACGTCCTCAGTGGACTTTGAAGGCTCAAGTACACATGGCCCCAGAGATGACAGCGGCGGGCAGACGGCCCCACCAGCTCTGTATGAACGGGCTTCCTCCAGACGTCCGCGTCACCCGGCTGAACTCCCTTCTACAGCTTCTCGACTGCTGTCACCTACCTCTGGTCACACTCTAGTCCTTGTTGAAAATATTGACAAGTGTCCTCTCTTCACCCCATATCTTACTAGTCCCCCCCAGTTACTTTACTGTTTCTCTGACTGACCCAACTCCATCCTAAACCTCGGCACTCGGACCTACCTTACCTGAATAATCTTTAACTCTCCTATCCTTCTCTTGGACTCTTCTAGCTCTCAGGCTCTCAATATCGCCACCTGTGGTACTAAATCAGAGAGACTTTGGTTCTTCGATCTTTCAAACTTCCCACACATAAGCCCTCCTCTATCTCTGGGTCACCGACGCTACCAGGCTACGTGCATGGCTGGCCATGGGGACTCCTGTCTCAGCAATAACCACACATTCTCAACATCCCTACATCTTTAGACCTAGCAAAATCCCACAACAAATCGTGTTATCTTTCCCCAAAGGGGGGGTGGTGGAAATCACACAGACATGTGAACACAAAGCTCTCCAGATTCATTAACTCCTATTTCGTTGTGTCCTCAAAGCCACTAAACAATCATCTTCTTTCCTTCTTCCATCCAATAACCTGCTCAAATCTGTATTATTGTTTCCCCTCTCCCACCTTAGTCCCTTAACTTACTCCCAAGCAAACCACTTTTCCTCCAATTGCTCCACAAAAACAGAAGCTATCAGGTTCAAAAGGCCCTGACTTCCTGACCTCCCAACCCTGGGAAGCTGGTCCCTCAACCGCCATCCTCACCACCTTCCTTTACTTCTCGGAAGCTGAGATCAAGTGCAACCTCTCCTACCAGCACTGCTAATCCTATCGTCTACCATCACCTCTAAAAGCTTGCTGCTCAAAGTGTGATCCCCACCCAGCAGCACTGGCATCACCTGGGAACTTGCTGGAAATGCATAATCTCAGCCCCACCCCAAACCTACTGAAACGGAGTCTTCATTTTAACAGATCCCCCAAGTGATTTATATGCGCACTGAAGTTCAGAAGCAATGCTTTAGAACTTTGCCATTGAGCAAGCAATCTCTCCCTAAAAAGAACCAAATAAACTGTGATCTAGACAAGAGTCAGGAAACTTTTCCTATAAAGGACCTGACTGGGGGATGCCTGGGTGGCTCAGGGGTTGAACATCTGCCTTCAGTTCACGGAGTGGACCCCGGGGTCCCGGGATCGAGTCCCACGTCGGGCTCCCTGCATGGAGCCTGCTTCTCCCTCTCCCTATGTCTCTGCCTCTCTCTGTGTGTCTCTCATGAATAAATAAATTTTAAAAGTCTTTAAAGTAAAAATAAGTAAGTAAAAAAATAAAATACCTGACTATAAATATTTTAAAGCAGTCAGACAATATATAAATAAATGGGCATGCCTGGATTCCAATAAAACTTTCTTTACGAAAACAGGCAGCTAGAAGGATTTGGCCTGTGGCACACAGTTTGCTGACCCCTGACTAGAGCACAAGGTATTGAGCTCATTTAATACCCAGTGGCAATACCCCTGCTCACCATCCCACCCACAGATGTGTACGATGCAGCTAAAAAAAGGGGACTAAAAAAAATAAAAAATAAAAAAATAAAAAATAAAAATAAAAAAAGGGGACTATGAAAAGAATCAGAACACAGGGGTCTAGCCCTGGCCTAGCCACCCACCACAGCCACATGACCCTGCTAATAAGCCTTCCTGAGTCACCATTTCCTCCTCTTTTAAAAGGATATAAAAAAAAAAAATCCATCCTTACCCTCCTTACAGATTTGCTTTAAGGACAAAATAAGGATATGTAGGAGCCAACACTTTGAAAACTAAAGTGCTACAGTTGTTTCTTTTGTGTTTTCCTTTTTAGTGATTCAGGTTGAAGTAAGAATCTTTGGAAGTTGCCAACTCCTGCCTTCTAAGTGGAAGATAAGTTCAGTTTTTGTGCAAGATCAGTCACATGCTCACAAGCCTCTTAAAAACAGGTCAACTTTCATATTTTGATTAATACCAGGCAGGCATCATTTGCATTAGGATTTCACTTAGCACAAGCCAAAGCACTCCCCAAATCAGCATGTATTAAATAATAAAAGCAGACTGTTCACTGGGATTTTCGGAATTTAAAGAGAAAAAGAAAAAGGCGGTTTGACAGTCCTTGGAAAAGAGCATTTCCAACTGCATTGCAATTACGCTCTTCTCAGCAGACCCCCAAGACGCTTCTAACCCATCAGTGAGGCAGGAATGGGTTTTTCCTTCTTCTCTGACCACAACTATCAGTTGTATTACTACCTACATGACTGGTGGACAGCTTACTTGACTGGCACACAGATGAATACGTGCCAGAGGTAATAGCTCCAAAAATGTCTCAAGTCCAAGGACTACATGGCTTTTGCAACATTTTAATCATCTGCCAACCCCTCTCCACAAGCACACATAATGAAGATGTGTTTAATACCATCGATTGCCTGGTTCTTGGTACCTGAAAGGAACCCATGGTCTTTTTCTTCTGTAGAGCCTGATAAAATAGAAAATGAGATGCTAAAGACGCTATGAGCTCATGCCAGCTGTGTCTGTGGATGCTAAGCTACAGAGAGCTGCGATTCTGAGGCTATCCTAGGAATACGCGTTCTTTTCTTCACAAGGTGACAGAGTTAAAACTGTTTCAAAATCACATTACCTAAAAAAAAAAAAAAAAAAAATCACATTACCTGCCCTGATATACACCTGATGCACCTGCTGCTGCTGCTTCTTCTTAATCCGAGAATACTGCCGCTTTAGTGCATTGATATCCGTGGTCATGCGTTCCATCATCATGCTGTTAAAAGCTGCGTGGTATTCACTTCGGCAGGAATTGATTGCTCCTGGACTCAGCTCCGCGATGTTATTAGCCCGTAGGCTCTGCTCTTCATTCGGTTCTGCACTCAAGGGGAGAGACATAAGGACACAGTGTCATGGAGGAGAAAGGCACTAAACGAGAACTGATGACACCAGGCCCTGTGGTAGTATCTTAATTTCCTTGGAATTCTAACCACAAAAAAAAAAAAAAAAAAAAAAAAAGCTACAATTTGTCTTGTACATGTTTTTCTTTGGCCCTGAAAAAAATTCTGCATTTTCTTACTAGCCTAACTGTGGGTCTGAAATGAGCTAGGTGGGTTCCCTGTTTGATTTTGTTACCACTTTGTTCATTATGGACACCAAAGATCAACTCTTTCCACATAAAAGTCACTGCTACTTTCTAAAATTCCCTTAGGAAAATAGAACTCCAAATGTCTAAAGTCAGTTTAGAGGTTTGCATATAATGGCATGAGGATTTATAAAGAACTGATTATAGAGTTTAGTCTGTGATTAAAAGTGAGTTTTTCTTAAGTTAAAAACAGCAACACATTCTATAAAATTATCAGAACTTGGGATCCCTGCATCTCTAACAATGAATGTTTTTTTTTTTTCATTCAACAAACATTTCCCACTGTCTACTACGTGTGTTTTTGTCTGCTGTAGTTTCTGCTTCTGACACCTACAGCTAGGAGATTCGTCCCTTAAATAAAATTGAGCTTACATCTAAGAACCAGAAATAAGCCACTGTGTGAGAGCATACACACATACTGCACAGGCTTTTCTAGCACAGTGTATAATAGTGGCCTGGGAATAAGCTTTTAAAAAATGTTTAATGGGGGACTTTAACTATCCTAACATCTACTAAAAGCGTTATTCAGATACAGTCTAAACATCAGATAAATTTACTTTCTTTTCTACTGAAGACCCTTTTTTAAGGAGAAAAAAAAATTCAAAGGGGACCTGCTAATCTGAATTTACTCAAAACTGACAAAAAAGACTAGCTATAAAACTTAGGAAAAAGTGATCCTATCATCCTGAAGCACGTTACCAGCTACACAGAAAGAAAACAGAAGGAATAAAAAGAGGGGACATATACCTAGACTACAGAAATGCAGGCGGAAAAATTTTAGAGTTAAAATACGTATTGATTTCATGGCTAAACACCAAAAGCTGAAATTCTGGCAACAAAGAGAAGGGGTGGAGGGCATTACAAAATCAACAGGACTCTCGCTGAGTTTAGATCTTTTAAAAGCCATTTAAAAAGATGAGAGGCGAGTACATAGCAAGGATATACACACAAAATCACATTTGAACCAAAACCATTTAATACTCAAAACAAGCTGAGGTTTGAGGAAAAGACTACCAAAAACTACTCACAACTGAGGGGGAAAAAAAAAACCAGCCAAACAAACAAAAATAAACCTTCTAAACATAAAGAACAAAACTGAGAAGATAGCCCCACGACTCTGAGAAGGTGGTATGAAGTTAGTGGAGGGCAGAGAGAACAAAGAAGGACCTGATATCTTCTGTCCTTGTCCTCTTTCACCAAGGAGAATGGTCCTCAAACTAGAAGAAGCAAAGCAGATGTCCTAGAGGAGGAACCGCCACCCCAAATAGGAAAGAACATAGTGGGAGAACCATGAACTGCTTCAAAAGAGTTCATTACATCGATGGTGCCCAGACCACAGGAAGTCCATTCTCCACAAGAAAAGAACAAATGTAGCATAGCATCCAGTTCAAAGCACACATCTTAAGAAGGACACTACCAAACGACAGGGCATTAAAAGGTGAATATACAGGATATTCAAAGTTCTGGAAGTCACATCTTTTGAAAAATCCTCAACTTGGACCACAGAGAAGGATTTGGGGGACATGACGGCTGTTCTCAAAGATGGGAAGAGACTTCCAATAGAAGAGGGAGTATATTTGTTCTACTTTGTTCAAATAAACCACTAAAAGACCTGGTAGGTGGAGATTATCTCTTCACAACTAGAAACCATGGGCTACGCAGAAGGGCGTATGAGATAATGAGATAATGAGTTTCTAATCACTCAAATACAAGTCAAGGCTATCATAATATTTCAGAGGACATTTCCATAGTGGAAAAGAAGCAAGTCCATATCAATTAAACTCAAACAGAATGTAGGAAGCATCCACTGTGTGCCAGGTTCTGAGCTAAAGAACTGAACATACAAAATGGAATCAGATAAACTGGGGCAAAAGATATCAGAATGAAAAAGAAATACGTATGATGTATGCAGCACCTAACAGAGAGATCCTACTAAATGATAAAGGAGGGGCACCTACGTGGCTCAGTTGGTTAAGTGACTGACTTTTGATTTCTGCTCAGGTCATGATCTCAGGGTCATGAGATCAAGCCCCGCCTTGGGCTCCACATTCAGCAAGGAGTCTGCTTGGTTTTCTCTCTCCTTCTGCCCCCATATGCGTGCACTTTCTATCTCTCTCTCAATAATAAATTAAATAAATTGTTTTTTTAAAAAAAGGGTGCCTGGGTGACTCAGTCAGTTAGGCATCTGCCTTCAGCTCAGGTCATGATCCCAATGTCCTGGGATCAAGGCCCACATCGGGCTCCCTGCTCAGTGAGGAACCTACTTCTCCCTCTCCTCCTTGCTTGTGCTCTCTCGATCGCTGTCTCCATCTCTCTCTCTCTCTCTCTCTCTCTCTCTCTCTCTCTCTGTCTCAAAGAAATAAATAAAATCTTTTTTAAAAATAATTATTTAATTAAGTTTTTTAAAAAGATAAAGTAACAGAGAAGACACTTTTTTTTTTTTTTTTTTTTTTTTATGATAGTCACAGAGAGAGAGAGAGAGGCAGAGACACAGGCAGAGGGAGAAGCAGGCTCCATGCACCGGGAGCCTGACGTGGGACTCGATCCCGGGTCTCCAGGATCGCGCCCTGGGCCAAAGGCAGGCGCTAAACCGCTGCGCCACTCAGGGATCCCTGAGAAGACACTTTTAATAAAGACGTTTAATACCAGTAATCAGGTCGGGAAATAAAAGGCATTTATGGGACAAAATAATAACACCTTTGCCAGAGTGAATCAATGCACGGAGATCACCTAAATAGAAAGCCACCTCTTTACCTTTAACTTGCTTTTGGTACTTCTGCAGTTCAGGTGCCAGGAGCCCACTGAAAGGTCCAAGACACCCCACTGCATTAGCGATAGCGTCTTCATCGTCTGGGTCATTCTCCTCATCACTGTCTCTGACCCTACCATGTCGTCTTGGAAAACATAAAAGAAGAAACGGAAATATTCAAAGAAAATAGTAGTGTTTTTTAAAAACATAAATGATAGTCACATGGTTTAAATGACATGAACTTACTTTTTATATAGAACTGTAAACATAACATATATAGAAAGCCTCTCCCCTATCCCTGTCCAACTTCTGCCCTTGACCCATCTAATTCCCAAAGCTGACCACTGTTACTAATTTCTGATGTGTTCTCAATTTCTTTATACATAGGTAAGCAAATATAACTATACAGTCTTATTTTTCTTTTACTGGATAAATAGTAGCATACTGTATACACTCTTCTGCGCTGCGCATCTATTTACCTAAAAATCTCCACATTCACACAGAGAGCTGCTTCATCCTGTTTTTATCGCTGCGCTACACTGTATGCATATAACCCATGTTGGAAACCAGGCCGCTAATGATGTACACCTGAGTGGTTTCCACTCATCTGCTATTATAAGCAATGCTGCAATAAATAACCTTATAGATACTGTGTTTTGCAGGTGCACAAATATATTTGTGGGATAAGCCATAAAGGTAAATTGCTGGGTCAAAGGATATATGGACTAGTAATCTGGGGAAATACTGCCAAATTGCCTGTCACAAATATTGTAATAATTAACCTCCAACCAGCAACATGCAAGAGTGTTTCCCTATAACCTCATCAACAGAGTGCATGTCAACCTTTTGAACTTTTATCAATCTGACAGATAAAAAAAAAATAGTCTCATCTAGTTTTAAGCTACATTTCTCTTGATATAAGTGATGCTGCCTCTTATATAAACTACCCATTGCCATTCTTTCATCATTTTTTCAGTTGTGTGGTCATTTTCTTATTGATTTCTAGGAACTTTATGTATGAGAGATTATCAATTACAAATATTTTTTCACGAATATTTTTGTGCCTGCTTGTGGAGGTTTTGTTTTGTTCTGTTCTTAGTCACGCAGAAAATTATTTTTTAAAGTACTTAACTTTTTCCGTAGTGTTTTTGAGTCAGTTATTAAGGCCTTCCCAGTTCCAAAGAACTAAAAATATTCTTCTACATTTTCTTCTGCTAATTTTATTATTTCTTTTTTTTCCACTTAAATACATTTTTCACTATTGATTTGATATTTTGGTACTTCTGCAGTTCAAGTCCCAGGAGCCCAGTACTTGATAAGTTTTCAAACACTAAATTCCTATATATACATATAGGTATATGTGTGTGTGTGTATACACACAAATATACATATATTATATATATTAATATATATAAATATATTTATATATTTATATATATTTAATATATATTTGTCAACTTCCATCTTTACATTTTAAAGTAGCTCGTCTGTCTCTTCATGCGCCTGTCCTACACTATTTTAATTATTAAAATGTTTAGTATTTGATATTTTTAAATAAGTTGTAGGGTCCTAAATATTCCTTCAGTTTACGTCCCAATCTGCTTTGGAAAGAACAGTTTTAAAAATCTCTATCTTGAATTTTAATCAAAACTTTGGGGAAAAGAGACATTCAGATTTTAAGTGCCAAAATACTTTGACTATATAGATCTGGGGCTTAACAAATATGAAGTTACAATAACACATTAAAATACTAAGTCTTCCATCATGAAAACAAGAAAGGGGGCGGGGAGGAAAGACCTTACCCAGAAAGTGAGGTGGGTTTAACTGTGGCTGGGAATGGTGTAATATTGTAGGTGTATTTTTCCCTCAACTCTGCCAATTGTGGGAAAGGGAATGGAGCCATAGAATAAACAGTCTGAAAAACAAAAGCAAAAATTCCAAGTCTGAAATGGTGGCTTTAAGCAGCTTTTATCAATCCTGGAAAAACATTAAAGTTTTATGATTTGGATTTGAAGAGGTAGATTCTGCTCCTCACACAGCAGGTGGAGAGATTCTACTTCAATACCTGCTTTAGACAAAGACAAAAGAATATTGATAAACACAACGCTGAGTCGTCAAATCAATCCAGCTGTGCTGGGCATTCCAGGTGGTGAACATGGGTGGCAGGTGGGGGCAGTCTGACTTCCTCCCAGCCCAAGTGACAGGTGGGTTAATTCAGAAATTCACAGCTCCTATTACCTTTTTTTTTTTTAAAGCTGGGCATGGAGCCCAACACAGGGCCCAAACTCACAACCCCAAGATCAAGACCTGAGCTGGGATCAAGAGTCAGATGCCTTGATCTGAGATCTAACCATCTGAGCCACCCAGGCGCCCCCTACCTATTACTTCTTTAACAAAGTACGCATCCATGATCTTCGTATGTAGGGCTTATTTGTTTCAAAGCTTTGATGATTTTTACAGACATTTAATGTCAGCCTTCTGGACAAAATTAAGTCTAGTGGATGATCTTATGATCACCTGCATGCTTTCTCCAAAGATACCACCTTTTCAAATGTCTGTGAATGAGTTCTAGGTGAAAATTGTTAGCTGTTATTTTTAAAGAAAAAAAAAGTGTGTAAAGCATAGGCTGTTAAAAATCTATAAATAAAAATGGGAAAAGCACCTGTGCTTCCTCCAGAATTTCAAAATTATATATCACTTATCAGCAGGAGGAAAGTAATTCAGTGCGTTCTCTTAATTTTACTAACATGTAACTGCTCCGAACATACATCTTCAATGCTTCAACTACTCATTCACCAGAAAATGTATATTAATCAGACTTCATTTCATGTCTCCCAGGAAGCCATTAACCTAAAACTAACAATGTTATAGGTCAACTATACCGTGATAATTTTAAAAAAGAAACCCCTACCATTTGGATTCAAGTTTAAAAGAGGAAATTATTAATACTAGGAATTGGAAAATTCCTTATAAATGAAGTAAAACGTCTCACTGAAGACAATTAGTAGGATATCCAGCTAAAGAGTCACTTGCGTTTTATTTTTGCCAGTTTTATAAAAAGTTACCAAAATATTTCCTTGTCCAGTCTCATGAAGAGTGGGAAGGAATGGGAAGTCCATCCTGCCCCTATTTCATCCCATCCTGCCCCAGGGTAATTGGTCACGGCTCCCAGCAAGCTCCTTCAAGCTTCCACTCAGCTTCAGACACCTGACCGAAAAGAAAACTGGCCCCATTGGTGCTTTTTTGGTCTTTCTTTCTTTATCCTTTACTTTCAGTTAGTCCTTCAAAGAAGAAATCAGTGCTCCTGAAACCAATGTGTTTATACTACTTTTTCACATATATTCACTCACTTATTCGAAGGTCTTACATTTGAAGGCAAGTTAATGCCAAGGATGTGCACCACACATCACCACAGTCCTCAGAGCACCTGAGAAGCTCTACTCTAGGTTTCCAACTTCATAAATCAGAGATTTACAACAGATTCCCAGAAAGATACATTACGAATCACCTGACAGCACTAATTCATCAAACACTATCCTTCTTTTGGACAAGCATCCACATCCTTGTCATTTCCACGCCATCACTGGCGGAAAAAAGTAAAAACAGTCCAAGAGTGCCTGAATGGCTCAGTCAGTGGAGTGTCCAACTCTTGGTTTCAGCCAGGTCAGGACCTCAGGGGTCCTGGGATCGAGCCCCGTGCCAGGCTCTGTGCTCAGCAAGCAGTCTGCTTGGGATTCTCTCTCTTCCTCTCCCTCTGCCCCTCCCCACCACCACATACCCTCTCTCTCTCAAATAAATAAATAAATACATCTTTAAATTAAAAAAAAAAAAAAAAAGGTGAGCAGTCCAAGGGCAGATCCTACATCATGGCAAAGGAGCGCTCTCCCCTGCCCACTCAGGTAACAATCATTACTGACGAGCACTTCGGGGTAGGTTTCCCCAGCACCTACAAACCCTTCTAACAGCAGCACCCCAGTTTTCTCTCTATTGCCCTCAAGGAAGTCATGAGAGACTGTCAAATGTTTTACTGAAATCTCTATACACGATTTCACCTGCATCCTCCCAAACTCTTTTCCAGACCATGTCAATTTTTTTAAAGCAACCACTGCTAATTTTAAAAAAAGAGGGGGGGGATGTGATTTATAGAAGGAAAAAACCCAGCAGATTATTTTGTGTGTGGCACAGAACTGAAAGAACTGGGGAAGACCACCAGGAAGACAGACTCCTTCCATGTCTTCAGGCTCAAAGATGAAGACCTTACGTGCAGCCCACATTTTTCATCTGGAGCCATTTCACGTTTGCTGACAGATTTATGGCCCACCATAATTGGATCCCAGCCACTGAATTAATTTTTTTTTTAAAGAGTGAATACAGGAAAGAGAGTGCCTTGAAATGTCATTCACCATTTCTCTCCATAACATTCTATGACGCCAAGGAAAACCGGCAAGTCAATTTACGATCCAAACTACCAACATACGCTTAGACAGACATTTATATTTAGGTACTGTTGGGGGAAAAAAAAATTCCATTTCTCTTTTCATTAGTGACATGCTTTACAAAAAAACATAAGCTGAACAAAATTAGGCTTAGTTCATCTCCACCCAGATGTTTCCCTCAGCAGAAGAAAAGCCACTCAAATGGCATCTAATCAATCAAACCGCAGCCTGCGTTTTCCCCTCTAGGATTCTCTTACAGCAGGGAAACGAGGTGGTTCTCTTTTCTCCTAATACCCAAGACTGGAAATTTCTATAGGACAAAGATGATGTGTGTCAACATCTCTCATTTGTTCTGGCAACGTTTAAGTGAAATAAAATGTTGCTTTATTTTTCTGAAGGGAATTTCAGCTTTCAGAGAGGCATGTTTTGAGTAAGGTGGACGCTGTGTACGGGGTGGTAGGGGAAAAGCACCAGGCCGGGAGTAGCGGACTGGCTCTCAGTCCCGGGTCTGCTCCTAGACAATCGAAGAAAAGCCACACACTCACCCTCTGTCAAGTGATAGAATTGGGTTGATCTTTAAGCTCCTTTTATTTTTTAAAAAAAATTCTTATTTATTTATTTGAGAGAGAGAGAGAGAACGAGCAGGGGAGTGGCAGAGGGAGAGGGAGAAGCAGACTCCCCACTGAGCAGGGAGCCCAAGGCGGGGCTCGACCCAGGACCCTGACATCATTACCTGAACCTCAGGCAGATGCTAACCTGAGCCCCCCAGGTGCCCCTTTAAGCTTCTTTTAAGCCAGTGTTTCCCTAAGTGTTGTTTAAAAACCACCTGCATCTGAACCACCCCTGGGCTAAATGTCTGCATTCTAACATACTCCTAGGAAGTTTCCTCATACGCCGTCAGGTTTGAAAACCACCGCCTTGAGTTCTCCTAATCTATGAGTCCGTATATCCACTGGGCAAAGGTGTGTTCTTCATAGCACTCTAGGTGTTATGAGGATGCTGAGTAGAATGAGGCCCCTGTCATTAGGGAACTTACCACTTCATTAAGATTAACATACTTGAAAAAATACCAAATAATGTAAAATTGTCTACAATTAGCATTGTGTTGGTTGTTGAAACTCTGGATCGCAGAAGGAACACAGAGGAGGCCTCGCTGAGGGCTGAGACGAGGGAGGCTGGGGGGTGGGGAGGGAAGGGACAGCCGGGTGACCCATGCTGGAGGTTCCCGCTGTGTGGTGGTGGGGAACACCTTGGAGAGGTGACACACAGGGCGGCCAGAATGTATCTCCAATGCAACCTGTCTCCATACGAACCCATCTCCCTCCCCCCGTGAACTCAGCTCTCCTTCCTAAGCCAGAGACTTGTCGGTTGCCTTTGTCTCCCCATTTCTTTCTCCTTTCTTCTTCCCCCGTATCTATTCCCATGGCCACGTCCTATTGATTTCACCTTCTAAATATCGTCTCTGTTCCAACCTTTCTACCCTTCACGGCCTCTCCCAGGCTCCTGCTGTCAGTCTTGCCCCCTTCACAGAGCTGCCCCTGCCTGTATCTGACAGCAGCCACAGCTCAGATAATTTTCCCCCTCTCCTTAGGACCGTTCAGGTCTTCTTTTCCCCTTTCCAAGGGCTCCACAGCCTCCCTAGAATTCCAGCAAGCACGATTTCACAACCACTAACCTGAAAGGTCAAGTACGATCCTTACCATGGGTTGTGGTCTTCCCCACCCACCCCAGATACCAAGCTCCTTGTAGGTTCCTTCACACACCCCAAAGTTTTCCACTGCTAGGCCTTTGCTCATGGACTCCCTCAACCATGAACCCCTTCCTGCTCTGCACCACGGCCTCCAACATACACAATCTCACGTGTGCATGTATCCACACACATCACACACACCCACACAGAGCCCGACCAATGCCACCCTTAAAGGTAAAACCAGATGTTATTTTCCTCAAGGAAGTCTTCTGACAGATAGAAATGCTCAAGAATATTTGGAGAAGTTAATATAAGGCCCAGAAAACTAGGATGAAGCATTTTAGTTAGTGCAGTTATTAACAAGGAAGCACTGAAGACGTGCCGAGGAACAAGGAGATGACCCACCCAGTGTGGACCATCACTCTGACAGCAAAATGCCGATCACATCAGCGCAGAGGGAATCTAGAAGGAGGGCCACCATCTGTGAGTGTCGTTTAATTCAGCAAACATTTATTGAAAAAGAGAAGTAGGGAACGAATTGCAGACTCCCAACAAGTGTTTGCTTAATAAAGTAATAAATTTATTGAGCAGCTCTAGCAAAAGGCAAAGTGCGAAGTATATATGAGCAAAGCACAGTCCCTGTCCTCAAGGAGCTTAAAAATATCACTATGGAAATAAGATGGTCTTCAGTCAAGTAGAATGTGATGAAGGCTCACGAGAGATGTACAAAGAGAATGCCCCGGTGATTCAGAGAAATGGGAGATGACTTTAGTTGAGACTCAGATTATGTTCCACAAAGATGACATCTGAACTGGAACTTTCCAGGAGGTGGCAGGCTGTAAACATGTGAAGGAAGAAGGAAAAGACTGAGCAAAGGGGACAAAGGTGTGGAGGGGGCACAGGTGTGAAGGAGGCACTGGTGTGGAGGAGGCACAGGGACAGAAGGGGCACAGGTGCAGTGGAGGCACAGGTGCAGAGGGGGGCACTGGTGTGGAGGAGGGACAGAAGGGGCACAGATGCAGCGGAGGCACAGGTGCGGATGAGGCACAGGTGCAGAGAAGGCATATGCCTAGGGATTTCTGGGAGCCCTGAAGACAGCTTGAGTTGACTAGAATTAAGTCAAGGGTACAAAAGGAAGCAGCCATGGCTGAAAAGATAGGTTAGCACCAGACAGTCAAGAGCACTGGATGCTAAACTGAGGAATCCACGCTTCGTTTTGTAGGCAGTGGGTAGCCATTGAAGTTTCGTGAGCGAGGTAGAAGGGACAATACCTAGACCCTGAGTCCTGCCTTGGGCATATGAATCTGCCAGTTCTGCGGGATGTAAAGGATCTCATACGTGGAATATACCAAGCATGGACATCGCTCAGAGAGCCATGTTCAATTAAAGATACTTCCCTCCGAACCCTTCCTCCTCTCAGAGAGGAAAGAAGGAAGAAGAGATGAGAATGTAAAGAAAAGTTAAAATAAAAATTACAAATGTTCAGGGAAGTTCTATCAGGTGGTCAGCATTCTCAGTGAGTCAGGCAGCTGTCTGCTAAAAAATAAGGGATTCTGAGAAGGAGCTGGAGGCACCAGGAAATGAGCAAAGGACTAGAAGGTCCCGGCTTCTCAAGCCCTATGTCAGGGTCTGAGTTCTCATTTTCCAATCTGTTGACTGGGCCCAGCACCCAAGCATGACCTCATGCACGGAACCCATTATAAGGGTAAAAGCTGAAACTGGCAAAAGGGGAGAGAAATCACAAAGAAAGACATAGGGCCCAAAGCCAACCTTAGACAAGACCTACGGCTGGTTGGTGGGCAAGAGGAGCAACCAGGAAGAGAAGCAGCAGTGAGAAGCATCAGAGGGAAATAAGCGTAAAATCATATTACAGAACCTCATGGGAGAGAGAATGTTTACAAATTTGCTATCTTTCCTATACTCACTATCAATTTTAATGCCTCTGTGAATATGAAATTGAGATACAATAACCGGCCAGAAAATAACAAAACCTTTCAAGTCTTTCATATTGAAACTTATGATTAATACACAATAACATGAGTAGGAAATATGGGTAAAACAAATAAACCAAATGCTGACTGAAATAACTTCCTTTAATCCTCAATAATTTCTCCCACAAAATAATGATGTTACCTCACAAATATCCCTTGACAAAGGTTAAAAATCAAATTCAGTGGTGCCTGAGTGGCTCAGTTGGTTGAAGGTCCAACTCTGGATTTCAGCTCAAGTTCTATCTCAGGGTCCTGGGATGAAGACCTGAGTCGGGCTCCCTGCTCAGCGGGGAGTCTACTTGAGGATTCTCACCCTCTGTCCCTCCTCTGCCTCCTCATTCCCTCTTTCTCTCTCTCAAACAAATAAATAAATCTTAAAAAAAAAAAAATCAGGGATCCCTGGGTGGCGCAGCGGTTTAGCGCCTGCCTTTGGCCCGGGGCGCGATCCTGGAGACCCGGGATCGAGTCCCACGTCGGGCTCCTGGTGCATGGAGCCAGCTTCTCCCTCTGCCTATGTCTCTGCCTCTCTCCCTCTCTCTCTCTGTGACTATCATAAATAAATAAAATTTAAAAAAATTTAAAAAAAAAAAAAAAAAAAAAATCAGATTCAGAAGAAGTACCTGGTAACATGGGGTGGGGGGTGGGGAGTTTGGAGGTTGGACTTTAAAGCAACACAGCTTGAATGGAAGCATAACAAACATCCATTACCCATTTTTTTTTCTTTCCTCCTGTGATAAAGTGAGATTCTGATCAAATTATACATAGATTCTTGGTCAAGTGAAAAACTAAATTTGAGAGCTGGCCAAACATACTTCCCTTGCCTGAGGTGAGGCCAAGCTGCCCACTCACCTGCATGAGTTCATGGCTTTCCAGAAGGTCATTCTCTAGCATCTCCTGGGTAAGGCGCCCCATGGTGCTGTAGAATTCATCTGCTGTCTCACAGCATTCTATCTGCCTAGACAAAGAAAATACAGAAGAAAATGTTTACAACCTCCATGCTGTTTATCAGGTATAGACCGCAGATGCAACAGATGTGTTGCCTCTTGCCATCCTATCGATTGAGTTAGCAATCAACAAAAATCACAATCCTAGGACTTGCCCATGGCTTTGTCATAGCTTGCATGTCCTGGCTTACAATTCTCTGCTATTCCCAAATAAACCCATTTTGCTAACTTTTTTTTTTAAACCACAATCCTGGTACACAGTCTGAAAAAAACAAACAAACAAACAAAAAAAAAACCACCAAAGTCAACTTAGAGGTACTTGTTACGGGATGTGTTCTCATCTTTCCCATCTGCCCCCAGCCTCACAGCCCCACCTGCAGCATCTTTATTATTTTCATGTGACACAGTCTACACATCAGAATGCCCACCACTGATCAGAACTAATAACCACAAAATTGGGTACTGAAGAACAATTACCCCCTGTAGGGAATCTGGGGCTCTTAATCTGCAAACGGTGATCTCATTGGTAGACTGGGACCAAATCACAAGAGAAGTGAAAGATGAAAAATACAAGAACAAGAACTTTTCTGCATATTTCATCATCCACAGGATGTTTTCACAGGCAGAAATTTTTCAGTTCTTTTCGGGGCATTGCAGCCAGCTGGAGATAACGCCCTGCTTCTTGCATTTGGTTCTGCATGTAAATAAAGAATCTGTCACCTGGCAACCTATAAGGCACGTTAGACTTTCATCCTTCTTCTAGAAGGGGGAAAAAAGGGGAATAATCTAAAGCAAAGAGGACCATGGGCAGCTCTTTCTGCCCACAGATCCTGCCCCTGTGTTTTAATAAAACATTTTTTGCACGGAATAATAAGTAAATAAATAAATAATAAAAAAAGAAAAGCGCTGTGTATTGGTTTTATCTATTACAACAGTCTTTGTAAAGTGGGATAATTGTATTTGCCCCCCCAACCATAAGACCAACATTTTGACATACACTAATGTTGGGGAATTTCCAAAGAGCCATCCAAAACAAATACGATGATGGAAAAACTTCAGGTTCTGGAGTGCTCTTCAGTCCCAGTACCATTAAATGAAATAGACTGTTGAAGTGTTATTACAAAACTACAGAGTAGCATGCAGGCATAATTGAAAAAGTGGTTAAGTTTACCCTGGAGGGCGAGGAAGGGAAATAATGCTTCAGAGGAGTTCTGAAAAATATTCTCCGGGTTGACAAGGAAGAAAAAGCTTTCCAAAGACATGGATGCAGGAGACAGCAGGCCCTTCCCAGGCCCTGCAAGGAGCTCCACACAACCAAAGCTGCCCAGGAGGCCTGCATGGCCAAGGGCAACAGCGAGCACTGAGGGTACTGAGCTGCAGACAGATGCCAACAGGTCCTGTGCCACCTGAGCCTCTTCCGGGGAAGAGTCACTGAAAGGCACTTAACAAGGAGCGTGGGAACAGATGTGCCCTCTGCAAGGCTGGCCAGGGGTAGTGTGGGGAGCGCAGGGTATGATGGGGAGACCAGGGAAGAAATACTGCATGAGACCAAGATGAGGAACAAGGGAGCAAGCCAAAGGCCAGCACCAGAGAGGAATGGAAACCTAAGAGATGCCAGTGAAGCTGAGCTGAGAGTCCACGGCTCACATACTCCCAAAGCACCCTGGGTGAGTGAGAAGAAATGCCAGGTTGCAGGAGTTAAGGGTGAACGGAGAGGTCCCATGGAGCTGTGGTTTATGATTTTTCCAGTGGAAAGTTTGTGGGGAAGCATACAGGCACTGGAGTCCCAAAGTTCAGGATTAAGTCCCAGCTCTGCAACTAATGAGCTATGTGACCATGAGCTAGTTAATTAACCCTCCTGGGGGAGCTTTCTCACTTGAAAAGGCAGGGAGAGTAATCCTACCTACTTCCCAGGCTTATGCAGAGACCTGAATGAGACCAAGTGTTTAAGCTGCCTGACATAATGACGGCACTACAGGCACCTGCCTTTCGCTTAACAAGTGGCATGCCCCCAAAATGTACAAGTACACTGAGCAAGGACTCGGAAACATTTAAAATCCTACCAAGTGTGACTCCTATATCCCCTGAACTTCATAAATACATACTTAGTACCAGGAGATTCACATTATTAAAAGTGCAGATTCTAGGGGCGCCTGGCTGGCTCAGACTGTAGAGCACGTGGCCCTGAATCTCAGGATTGTGAGTTCAAGCCTCATGTTAGTTGTGGAGATTACTTAAAAATCTTAAATTAAAAAAAAAAAAAAAGGGACGCCTGGGTGGCTCAGCAGTTGAGCATCTGCCTTCGGCTCAGGGTGTGATCCTGGGATCTGTATCTGGCTCCCTTGGAGGAGCCTGCTTCTCCCTCTGCCTCTGTCTCTGCCTCTTTCTGTGTGTCTCTCATGAATAAATAAATCTTTTTTAAAAAATAAAAATAAATAAAATTAAAATTAAAAGTACAGATTCTAGAGTTAGGATTCCTGGGTTCAAAATCAGGCCCCTCCACATACTTACTGAGTGACATTGGCAATTCACTTAAATTCTCTGTGGCTCAGTTCCCACATCTGTAAAATGGGGATGAGAACAGTACCGACATAAAATGATGTCGGATAAGGACTAAATAAATTACTTTCACATCTCGAGTGCTGAGAGCTATGCTGGTTCACAGTGCGGAATCTCGGAAAAGACCAGATGGATAAATCCTGATCCCACACATACTGGATAGGTGGGAGTAAAACCAGAATCTCTTCTGTTCCTCCTGCCCTGTAACTAAGCACTAACACAAAGGTGACTATAACTAACTCAGCCCATAGTAAAGTGCTACACTAAAATCCCATAAACTAGTTATACTGGTAACTGGACTCTCCCACCCAGAGAAACTATCAAAGTTCAAAGAGCGTCAGGCATAGAATAGGTTGGAAATATAGGGCTGAAGATATAGATATTGGGGAGAAATGAAAAGATAAGTAAACGGTGCACCAAATCCCCAGCGGACTCACTTATTTGCCCAGCTGAAAAGCAGTGTACCATAAAACAAAAGCAAAGGAGACAGCTATGTGATGTTTAAAAACATACACAATAATGATCTTTCTAAATCCCTAAATCGAGAGTTGGTGGATCTTAAAAAAAAAAAAAAAAAAAGTATGAAATACGGCAAATCTCCCAGGAAACAACTTATCATAAATAAAAAGGCTACTTAAAAGGTTTTTGAAACAAAACACTGGCAGAGATTTATTGGTTTTCTGACATGTTGTCTATGAGTACCCACTCAAGTCATTTATAGCTCTAGGAAAGAAACGTTAAAAACTTCTCTGCGTCTCAACTCTAACAATTTCATCCTAATATTCCTTCCATTACCCAGAAGGTAGAATTTTAATATAACAGTCATAATAAATTAGAGATGGGTGAAAATACCCTCCTTTTTTTTAATTTTTATTTATTTATGATAGTCACAGAGAGAGAGAGAGGCAGAGACACAGGCAGAGGGAGAAGCAGGCTCCATGCACCGGGAGCCCGACGTGGGATTCGATCCCGGGTCTCCAGGATCACGCCCTGGGCCAAAGGCATGCGCCAAACCGCTGCACCACCCAGGGATCCCAATACCCTCCTTTTCACAGTCCTGCTACCAGTAACAAACGTAAGGAACATCTATACGGTAATATGTTTGGGGATCACAGAATTAATTCTTGGTGAAAGGAAATAAGTTCCATGTGTTCTTTTTTTTTTAACTCACGACCCTGACCTCAAAAGTCGCAGGCTCCAGGGACTGAGCCAGTCGGGTGCCCCCTATGTGTTCTGCTATTGACTATGTACTAAGTACCACAGAGATACCTTATACATATTATCTCATTTCATTTTATCATGACCCTGAAGAGTAGAACTAAATAAATACTAAGGATTCAAAAATCATCCTAATTGTGAATGTTAACCAACAAACCCAACTACCCCTCTCCCAAGCTTCCTCTTCTAAGTTTCTCTCCCTGCCCCTCTTCCCAATTAGAGTCCAGGGAGAGGCTGCAAAGAGTAAACCAGCCAGGACACTAGCACTGGGGAGGAGATCTACAGCCATGGAAAAGCTGGCCCCCTTCCCCAACAGAGATTCTATTGCCCCCTCCCCCAACCATCAAGAATCAGCCAACTGAGATTTCAGGAAGCTAGAGCAATTCAACAAAGTTCCCAACTTTCTCTTTTGCTCATGCTTAAATATAGATGCTTTCCACATTAGAGCACAACATGGCTTAAGGCCCCCCATACCTCAAAACAGAAAAAAATGAGGAAATCACTTACTCTCCCAATTTTGCCCAGATGGCCAGCGACACTCTTAAGATGATTTCCGAACCTTCAAAGAAGACTGAATCCCAGATCTTTAAGACTGTATGGTTAGGGAGGCAGGTGGCAAAGAGAGTCAGAAACCACTGCATCGTGAAGACGTTCGTAAGTGGGGGCTCGTATCCACCTGAAATAAAACAAACACTCTGCGCTTTGCAAGATATAAAAATACCCTTGTTCAATTTTCCATGTCCACCAAATACACTTCCTGGCTTATTTCTTTATATCTTTAAAGTCTGGTTCTTCCCCCCACGCCCCCCACCCCTTTGCTCCTTCCTCTTTTTGGAAGGACAAAGGTATGTTTGATAAGATCTCAATAAGATGACCTTCACAAATTCTTTATGGTTATTTCAGGAATTTTTTTGCAGATTCTATTTATTTGACACACAGAGAGACAAAGAGAGCACAAGCAGCAGATATGGCAGAGAGAGAGGGAGAAGCAGGCTCTCTGCTAAGCGGGGAGCCCAACACAGGCTCCATTCCAGGAGTCCCTGGGATCATGCATGACCTGACCCAAAAGCAGACGCTTAACTGACTGAGCCACCCAGGTGCCCTGATATTTCAGAAAGCTTATCCTAGAACTTAATTAGGCTCTACCTATTGTGGAGTATTGAAAATTAAGGAGAATGTTCTCACCAAAAAAACAGGAGAAAAAGAAAGGATTTTAGCCTCTTAAAAGCAGAATTCAATTTTCAAAACCCCGGAAAGCCTACTTAATTCAAATGCCACTGATAAAAAACATTGCTCATTAAGAGATTACTTGTCTGCTTCTTAAATTATGCACAGCTCTCAGACCACAGTGAAATTAAACTAGACATCAGTAACAGAAAGAGAGCTGGAAAATCCTAAAGTATGTGGACTAAGCAACATCAAATTTTAAAATATTTTGAAATAAACTATATATACAGCTCACACTGAGGTTTCTGAATTCACGATAAACACGGAGCTCTCTCCTTCTTCCTATGATGGCATTAAGTATGTATTCTATGAAACATAAAAATGGATATTTAAACTGATCCTTCCTCCAAGTTTGTCAGGCTATGCATTTACCCATGGATAAGCAAAAAGAGATCTATTATTCTCCTGCACTCGTTCTCTCTTCTTACCCGAGAACAAAGGAGCATCTTTGCTCAGAGACTTAGAATCTGTGGGCAGTGCTGATAGGCAAGTGCAGGACGTTTGGAGGAAAACATGGAGCCCAGGAAAGGACGTCTGACATGGGACAGGCAAGGCAGTCTATCTGGAAGCACTATGAAATCCACGCAGGTGCATAATTATACTCTGCAGCCAAATTACATGAGATTATTCGAATGGCTCAGAAGGAAATGCTGAGAGACTCCCAGGTGTCACTAGAATTTCCAGTGTACCATAATCACAGATTAGGTCCTCAAATCCTTTCATATCTTCCCAGATTGAAATGCATGGGTGGGGAACTGGCAACCGTTTTACAGGAAACACAACAAACTTCTGATTATTCTTCCTGGGAAGTGCAGACAGTGGGTATAATCACAGCCGCTAGCTTGGTGATGCCCAGCAGACAGCAGCGACTCAGAGCTGCTTGCAGAGCAGAGTCTCCAACCCCAACCTCAACCCAGTGCCTTTCCTCAGCATTCAGATTCTACCTAGGGGTCTCAGGGAGCCCTTCTCCAGAAAGAGCTGGCCCATTCACAGAAATACCCTTACCATGGATAGATAAAAGAAGCATTAAACATTTCAATACAAAAAGACTGTTGATTTAGCGCCTAAAGCTTAACGAAGATACATGTTCCTCTCTACATAGCCTCCATGGTTCAGGCAAAACTACAGTCTGTGAAACTGTACTGGAATTCAGTTTTTAAAAACTCCTATGGATGGATGCCAGCATAGAGCAGTTTAACTAGATGGTAAGGCATGGACACCAGTGTTCTTCTAGAGGGCAACATGTCATTTTAGGTGTTGATCTGATACCAGTAAAGTATTAGGTTCTTGACAGACTTGGCCACTTGACCATGGCCCTATGTTTTTTTTCAGCTGTTTCTGTTCTCTACCAATCTATTTCATTGTACCAAACGCTCACTAACAGAAATACCTGAAAACAAGTATTTCTGCTCAAGGTTTAGGCTCAGATGTACAGTGGAATCAAGGAAGTAAAATATTTTCAAAGGTATAATGGCATTGAGTAATCACTACCTCCACTTTCCTTGTTTGCAGTTCTCTGAAGAGTATCCAGGTGCTGAGATAATTCAGGGAGCTTCAGTCTCAAGAGATCTCTGAAGACAGCCATATCCACAGACAAAGCCCGGAGATTATTAACAAAATAGCTTTCAGGAAGTACCTTATCAATAAGGTAAATCATGATCTGAAGAAAAAGATAAAAAATAAGATTGCTTCCTAAAGACTGGGATCCCAACATGCCCTAAATAGAAGGGACATATTCAAAAAATGCAGTTAGCCAAGCACACCATCCTTCAAAACATGTCAATATCAAATGTTCTGGATTTTCAAGGCTCATCTCCATGCTGGGCAAGGAGCGAGTGGCATAATTATTAAAGTATTATTAAAGTAACTCAGACCCACAGGCCACTGCTGTCGAAAGTTTCTAGATAAGCCACTAGACCTGAGGTACCCCGTAAGTAGCTGTGCTTGCACAACCCTCAGCCTTACTCAGAAGTCATGGAGCACATGCTCCACCAGCGGCCCGCAAGAATCTCAATACTGGCTCCCTGATGTGAGCACAGTTTCACAACCTTTATATGAAAACCAAGAGCTGAACCATCATAAACCACCCCAACTAAAGCCAGTCTCAAGATTCACTTAGCCTCAACCTGGTTATTAAAACTAAGAGTGGCTTTGGGTCCACTTTCCTTTCCCAGGAGAATACAAGGCTTTGTTTGAACAAATGGTACTTTGAAAATCTGGCTTTCTTTCATAAGATGGTCTCATAAATTCTTCAAATTACTATTTTCACTCTTACTTTTCTATTTGTGTTACCTTTGCAAAGATGTCAAGAACCACTAGAATGATCCAGCAAAACACAAGAGTTCTATATGTCAATCTCTGGCCCTTTCCCTGTCAGCCTGTATACCCTGCTATGCTGTCCTCCCTAGAAGGCCACTAATAATCCCCTGAGCACAGGGAAAACAAAATTAAGAATCAAGTCAGAGCCAGCCCCATAGGGTAGTCTCATAGTTTAATTTTCAATCTAACACAAAACTCTATACTCTAAGAAAATTATCTCCCAGACCAGACAAAGGCCCATTTCTCCCTCATCCCTGGCTTGTAATTTCTACATTTTTAGGGTCAGAGTTTTGACTAAGTTGATAAGGGTTGCGCCATACTCTTGAGAAGGTCCCTCTGAGACCTTTAATACAAGAGCGGGCAGGTGGAGCTTAGCAATGAAGGGAGTACAGAATATTCCATCTGTGGAGGGAAGAAGGACCTAGTGAGATTGATGCCAGTTGATGGGGAGTGCAGATCTCCGGCAGGGCAGGGTGCCCAGTGGGGACCTTGTACTCTATGAGTAAGGAGAAGAGGGATTTACAGGATGACACAGGCACAATTTAAAGGTAATAGTCTGGAGGAGGAGGGGCAAGATGGCGGAAGAGCAGGGTCCCCAAACCACCTGTCCCCACCAAATTACCTAGATAACCTTCAAACCATCCTGAAAATCTACGAATTCGGCCTGAGATGTAAAGAGAGACCAGCTGGAACGCTACAGTGAGAGGAGTCCGCGCTTCTATCAAGGTAGGAAGACGGGGAAAAGAAATAAAGGAACAAAAGGCCTCCGAGGGGGAGGGGCACCGCGAGGAGCCGGGCTGAGGCCGGGGCGAGTGTCCCCAGGACAGGAGAGCCCCGTCCCGGAGGAGCAGGAGCTGCACCAACCTTCCCGGGCGGGCGGAAAGGGGCTCGCAGGGAGTTGGAGCAGGACCCAGGAGGGCGGGGATGCCCTCGGGCTCCCGGGGACACTAACAGACACCTGCGCCCCGGGAGAGTGCGCCGAGCTCCCTAAGGGCTGCAGCGCGCACGGCGGGGCCGGAGCAGCTCGGAGGGGCTCGGGCGGCGGCTCCGCGGAGGGGGCTGCGGGGCGGGAGCGCGAATCCCACAGCGCAGGCCCCGGAGCACAGGGCGCCGGGACACAGCCCAGGATCCGGCCTCCCCCGGGACAGGCAGAGGCCGGGAGGGCCCAGGACAGCGAGGACGCTCCTGCCCCGAGCTGAGCAGATCAGCGGCCCCGCCCCGGAGCCTCCAGGCCCTGCGGACGGAGAGCCGAGAGCCCCGAGCCCCGTAGTTCCTGCGGAGGCTGAATCCAGGCTTCCAGAGTTGCCATAGCAACTGCTGCTGTTCCTCCTGGGGCCCCACGGGGTAAACAACCCCCGCTGAGCCCTGCAGCAGGCAGGGGCAGAGCAGCTCCCCCAAGTGCTAACACCTGAAAATCAGCACAGCAGGCCCCTCCCCCAGAAGACCAGCTAGAGGGACCAGTGATACTCCCCCGTGTTCCAATACAACTTGTTTTTGGCCACTCTGCACTGAGCAAAATGACTAGAAGGAAAACCTCACCTCAAAAGAAAGAATCAGAAACAGCCCTCTCTCCCACAGAGTTACAAAATCTGGATTACAATTCAATGTCAGAAAGCCAATTCAGAAGCACTATTATACAGCTACTGGTGGCTCTAGAAAAAAGCATTAAGGACTCACGAGACTTCATGACTGCAGAATTTAGATCCAATCAGGCAGAAATTAAAAATCAATTGAATGAGATGCAATCCAAACTAGAAGTCCTAACGACGAGGGTTAACGAGGTGGAAGAAGGAGTGAGTGACATAGAAGACAAGTTAATGGCAAAGAGGGAAACTGAGGAAAAAAGAGACAATCAATTAAGGGACCATGAAGACAGATTAAGGCAAATAAATGACAGTCTAAGGAAGAAAAACCTACGTTTAATTGGGGTTCCCGAGGGCGCCGAAAGGGACAGAGGGCCAGAATATGTATTTGAACAAATCCTAGCTGAAAACTTTCCCAATCTGGGAAGGGAAACAGGCATTCAGATCCAGGAAATAGAGAGATCCCCCCCTAAAATCAATAAAAACCGTTCAACACCTCGACATCTAATAGTGAAGCTTGCAAATTCCAAAGATAAAGAGAAGATCCTTAAAGCAGCAAGAGACAAGAAGTCCCTGACTTTCATGGGGAGGAATATTAGGGTAACAGCAGACCTCTCCACAGAGACGTGGCAGGCCAGAAAGGGCTGGCAGGATATATTCAGGGTCCTAAATGAGAAGAACATGCAACCAAGAATACTCTATCCAGCAAGGCTCTCATTCAAAATGGAAGGAGAGATAAAGAGCTTCCAAGACAGGCAGGAACTGAAAGAATATGTGACCTCCAAACCAGCTCTGCAAGAAATTTTAAGGGGGACTCTTAAAACGCCCCTTTAAGAAGAAGTTCAGTGGAACAATCCACAAAAACAAGGACTAAATAGATATCATGATGACACTAAACTCATATCTGTCAATAGTAACTCTGAACGTGAATGGGCTTAATGACCCCATCAAAAGGCGCAGGGTTTCAGACTGGATAAAAAAGCAGGACCCATCTATTTGCTGTCTACAAGAGACTCATTTTAGACAGAAGGACACCTACAACCTGAAAATAAAAGGTTGGAGAACCATTTACCATTCAAATGGTTCTCAAAATATACCCTAAAAACTACAGAACACTTCTGAAAGAAATTGAGGAAGACACAAAGAGATGGAAAAATATTCCATGCTCATGGATTGGCAGAATTAATATTGTGAAAATGTCAATGTTACCCAGGGCAATTTACACGTATAATGCAATCCCTATCAAAATACCATGGACTTTCTTCAGAGACTTAGAACAAATTATTTTAAGATTTGTGTGGAATCAGAAAAGACCCCAAACAGCCAGGGGAATTTTAAAAAAGAAAACCATATCTGGGGGCATCACAATGCCAGATTTCAGGTTGTACTACAAAGCTGTGTTCATCAAGACAGTGTGGTACTGGCACAAAAACAGACACATAGATCAATGGAACAGAACAGAGAACCCAGAAGTGGACCCTGAACTTTATGGTCAACTAATATACGATAAAGGAGGAAAGACGATCCACTGGAAGAAAGACAGTCTCTTCAATAAATGGTGCTGGGAAAATTGGACATCCACATGCAGAAGAATGAAACTGGACCACTCTCTTGCACCATACACAAAGATACACTCAAAATAGATGAAAGATCTAAATGTGAGACAAGATTCCATCAAAATCCCAGAGGAGAACTCAGGCAACACCCTTTTTGAACTTGGCCACAGTAACCGGAGAAGGACAAACAGTGTATGTTCTCATTCATTTGGGGAATATGAATAATAGTGAAAGGGAATATAAGGGAAGGGAGAAGAAATGTGTGAGAAATATCAGAAAGGGAGACAGAACATAAAGACTTCTAACTCTGGGAAATGAACTAGGGGTGGTGGAGGGGGAGGAGGGCGGGGGGTGGGGGTGAATGGGTGACGGGCACTGAGGGGTACACTTGACTGGATGAGCACTGGGTGTTATTCTGTATGTTGGTAAATTGAACACCAATAAAAATTAATTTATAAAATTAAAAAAAAAATAAAGGTAATAGTCTATTATTGCACTTTTTATCTAAGGATTTAATACTGAGAGAGATACTTAAACTTCTCTGAAGAAATCATGATCTCCCAAAATTACACGAAACAAGAAAAACAAATTTTCAATTATCACAGTAATTCTTGTGACACAATGAAATTCTCTGTCCAAAGGCATCGCAAAGTCTGACAGGACATTAGAGACAGGCTGGGTAGAATGTTAGGTATGTCACTCCACCCATTAATATATTTCAAAAGCCCCACATTAGATCTTAAAAAAAAAAGAAGAAGAAAGAAAGAAAAAAAGAGGATAAATAATGGCAATAGAACAAAAACAGTCTCTTCAACAAATGGTGCTGGAACAAATGGATATCCACATGGCAAAAAATAAATCTAGACACAAACCTTACACCTTTCACAACAAATTGAGTCAAAATCGATGGCAGACCTAAATGCAAAATGTAAAACTATTAAATCTCTTAGGAGGTAGCATAGCCCAGAGCCCTTGGGTATGGTGATGATGACCTTTCAGGTACAACAGCAAGGACACGATCCATGAAAGAAATCATTGGCAAGCCAGATTTCTTTAAAATTAAAAATTTTGGTTTTGGGAAAGACAATGTCAAGAGAATAAGAGGACAAGCCACAGCCTGGGAGAAAATATTTGTGAAAGACATATCTGATTAAAGACTGTTATCCAAAATATACAAAGAACTCTTAAGACTCAAAATAATGACTAAAAATGGACCAAAAACTTTAAGAGGTGCCTTGCCAAAGATGTATTCAATGGCAAATAAGCATATGAAAAGATGCTTCACATCATGACATCCGTCATCAAAGCAACCCAAATTCAAACGAGGTAACACCGCACACCTAATAGAACCGTCAAAATCTGGAATGCTCACAGCACCAAATGCTGACAAGGATGTGGGTTAATAGGAATTCTTATACATTGCTGGCAAGAATGCAAAACTGGATAGTCACTTTGGAAGACAGATTGGCGGCTTCTTACAAAACTAAATATACTCTTATCATACGATCCGGCAATCACACCCATTGGTATTTACCCAAAGGAGCTGAAAACTCATGTCCACACAAAAACCTGCACACAGATGCTTAGAGCAGCTATATTCATATTTGCCAAAACTTGGAAGCAACAGAGATGTCCTTCAACAGGTGAATGGATAAACAAACTATGAACATGCAGACAATGGAATATTATTCAGCACTAAAAATAAATGAGCCACCAAGCCATGAAAAGACATGAAGGAAGCTAAATGCATCTTACTAAGTGAAAGAAACCAATCTGAAAAGGCTACATATTGTATGATTCCAACTATAAGACATTCTGGAAAAGGCAAGACTGTAGAGACAGTAAAAATATCAGTGGTTGCCAGGGGTAAGGGCAGGGGAGAGGAATAAGCCGAGCACAGGGGATTATTAGGGCAGTGAACACACTCTGTGTGAATATTACAATGATGAATATATGTCATTAAACATTTGTCTAACCCACAGAATGTACAACACTAAGGGTGAATCGTAAACTATGCACTTTAGGTGATTACAACATGTCGATATAGGTTCAAGAATGTAACAAATGTACCTCAGGTGGGGGATGTGTGGGGGCAGGGGGCATACGGAAAATCTCTGTATGTTCCTCTCAATTTTGCTACGAACCTCAAACTGCTCTAAAAATTATGTATTTTTTAAAAAGTAAATAATGAAGGAGCTTCATAGTTTTACATAGTTAAAAAGTTACCAAGACAAAAACAGTAAGTGCTGAAAAGCATGCAAAATGGTTTACCTACTTCTCAAATAAACTATATATTTGCCTAATAATTAAAATTTGCAGAGGACAAAATAGCTGCTGAAAAACACTGACGTCCAATATTTTCCTTTGCCTCTGAAGTGACTCTTCATGAATCCAATCTTCCTCTGCATATTCAATGTCTAACCACAAGATTCTGAAATGATGATGGTGTCATTTCATTTCATGGAAATCATTTTCTTAGAGGCAGAAATATAAATATTCAGTTCCTCAGCTTTATCTCATCCATATTTTATGTGTGCATTTTTAGTTTCTCAAGGAGTTTCTTTTATGATTTGATTGGCATGTATATCCCTTCCCCCAGACCTTTCTACTTCACCTCCTAACCTGAATTGCTTATTCCAACTCTTCAACAGTTCTCATTTTATAGTCACAGTAATTACATCTGAAAAGAAAAAATCAACTAAAGCTGATAGACTGAGTAAATAAAAGGCTTAATAAAAAATGTTTTAAACTTATATATTTGACTTATCACTGGCTCTCCACTCCCCCACTTATTTGATGAACAAGTAGTTTCAGAGCTTTTTCCTTAAATACAAGGACGGAAAAAGTGAAAGGGTGAATACAGATTGAGATTAGGTCAGACTGGGTTTATGGTTAATTCCACCATAATGCATATAAAACTAGGAGGAACATTTGTTTGTTTTTCCATAGGACATTAGTCAGTGACTGGGAATATCACTAAGGTATTGACCATAATCAAACACAAGGCTGGGGTTGGGGAGGCTCTTGAATACAAAGACTAAGTATCCATCCCATCCATCACAAAGCATTGCAATCAACAGCAGTTTGAGGGTTCAGATAAGAATTAGCAATCCCATATTGCCCCAAGCTAATAAGGGAATAGCCATCCTGCGCATGTGTAATGCTTCATTTCTCATAAAGATTATTTCCGGTGACTAACAGACTCATATTCCAATTTATAAGCTTAAATTGCTTGTGAACCATCTCAAAATGTTTCTAGAATTTTTTTTTTACTAATAATGGTTGCAGGCATTGAAGGTTAAAAGATAATAAAATATAATTCGCTTCCATAACCTATCTCCATGCAAATACTTTCCATCATATATACTCACTCTCAGCCTGACCTCCTCCATAGCTTGCCCCATAGATGAAATGGTAAAGGAACCCAATAAGAAGACCCAACCAACCAGAATTACACATAACTTGTGTAGTAGGCAATTTCTAACATGACACCCCATGACCTCTGCCTCTTAGTAGTCATATCCTTATACAAGCCCTTCCCCTTGAATAAGAGCTGGACCTAGTGACTGGCTTCTAATGAAAAGAATATGGCAAAAATGACGGAATACAACATATGCAACTTAATCTCTCCTACCTTGCTCATTCCCTTTTATTCTTTTACTCACTCTGAGGGATGCCAGTCACCTTGTTGTGAGATGGAGACATGGCAAAGGACTAAAAAAGGTCTCCAGCCAACAGGCAGCCAGGAACATAGGCCCTCAATCCAGCCGCTTGTGAGGGATTAAATGTTACCAACAACCACATGGACTTGGAAGTGAATGCTGTCCCCACCTGAGCCTTCAGATGAGGCTGCAGACACAGCCAACAGTTTGGATGCCACAACAATAGGACTTTGAGCCAGCTAAGTCGCACCCAGATTCCTGACTCAAAGAAACTGTGACGTAAATCACGTTTGCTACTTTAAGCTAAGTCACACCCAGATTCCTGACTCAAAGAAACTGTGAGGTAAATCATGTTTGCTACTTTAAGCAGCTGAATCGTGACACAGCTGTGAAGAATAATTAATATGATTAGTATTCAGCTTGCTTTAAAAATGTGTTTTACAAGTGGGACAAAAAACATAATCGTTCTTCTCACAACTGGCAGCTACATGAGTTGGTCACTTGACCTGGCTTTAATAGTGAAGAAATGGTGATTATGGGTCATTACAAAAGTGTAGAAAACACCCTGGAAGGAGGTGGGACATCAGGGACGAGGAATTATAGTTCCAATACTTCACTCTCAGAAGAATTTCAATTGCTCTCTCCAGAGCCTCATACTCACTTTCAGTGCATCCCCTTCATTGCCTTCCACTACTTCCAGAATTAGAGCAGCCAAGATGTTAAAGCCTTGGCAGTACCCAACATTCTTATTCCACCGGGCGTAGGCCAACAGGACCCGTTTTAACACAACCCTGTCCTGCTCAGCCTCCTGGCCACAGTAAGAACTGCAGCCCGTGCGGTGAAGATCCTGAAGAAGGCAAACAAAAGTTTTTAAAATAGTTCTTCATATTCTCTCAAAAAAAAAAAATACCTTTAGTTATAACTTTGCCTCAGCATTAAATAGAATCAGATTATCAACCTGAATTTTAGTTTTTAAAAATGTTTATGGGCCAAAGCAATTTTTTAAATTTTCTTTTTCTATTGTTTTCTATTTTGCTAAGATACATTTTTCCCCCCAGTTTTATTGACAATGTAGTTAACTAAAGGGCATTTTCAAGAGGAATTTCGGACAGGCAAATTTTCTAACTTTATAATTTTGGGCAGCCCCAATGGCACAGTGGTTTAGCGCCACCTGCAGCCCAGGGCGTGATCCTGGAGACCTGGGATCCAGTCCCACATCAGGCTCCAGCATGGAGCCTGCTTCTCCCTCTGCTCTCTCTCTCTCTCTCTCTCTCTCTCTCTCTCTCTCTCTCTGTCTCTCATGAATAAATAAATAAAAATCTTTTAAAAAAAAAAGTTTTGTCCTAACTTTATAATTTTCTGCCAAAATTTAAAATGTTTCCAGAATTAATACCAAAGGGACACAGTATTAACAAAAATTACATTATAATTCCATACAAATTGACAGTTTCTTTTAATACTATGTCTCAGATAAAACAAAAGTCATTTCAACACATGACTATATTTCAACACTTCAACACATGACTTCAACACATGATAGACGCTAACATTACTCCTTTCTCTGAAACACAATATAATATTTAGCTATCAAAACTCAATAATATGGAGCAAAACTAAAATAGCAAAAAATGCAATCTGTACTACAGAGAGACAGAAAAATCATTCTGTTCAAGATGGAAGAATCTATCCAAACTGTTTTAAAATTTGTATAAAAAATACAGAAACATTTGTTGTGCTTTAATATTTAATTAGGGCAATAAATGTAATTTAATAACTAAGCAGAGACTACAATTTTCAGGAGCTAATGTCATTTTACTGACACAGCATTCACTTCAATGAGGAAAATGAAAGATCCTCTTAATAACATGATTGTTATAAAATGTATATTACCTTAACTCACAATTTAAACAGAAAATATTTCAAACATGGACTACTTCATCACTGAGAAACACTCCTGAAATTCCAAATAAACAGTTGAAATATGGATAGTGCACAAGCTTTTAAAACATACAAAATAAAATTTCCTAATTGTTTTTAACATGTGTCTGAAACAGACCAAGTTAGATCACAAAGTAGCTCCTTTCCATTAGTACTCCTCACAAAAAAAAGTATCCTCAAATCTGTCAAAACCTTAGCCAAACTCTGGTGGCCAAAATTTATAGGAGACAATGTTCCTTTTAAAACCCCAGCTTAGCCTTACGTTGTAATAAACTCATATAAAATCAAAAGCCAATCTTAAAAAAAAAAAAAAAGTGGGCACCTGAGTGGCTCACCCAGTTAAGTGACTGACTCTTGTTGTCAGCTCCAGTCGCGGACCTCAGAGTCATGAGATCGAGCCCTGAATCGAGCTAAGCACAGAGCCCACTTGGGACTCTCTCTCCCTCTCCCTCTTCCCTTCCTCCCTGCCCTCTCTTCTTCTCCCTCAAATAAATAAATAAATCTTTAAAAAAATCAAATTAAAACCCATGTGCTGGAAACTTATGTAAGAGAACAACAGTGGGACTGAATTGAATCAGCAACCTTGGCTGTTGGCAACAGGCCCTAATCAATTGTAATAATCCCAGTAGGCAAACCACAGCTGCCTCCACAGCTGGCTTGAACCCCTGACCATCCGGTTTTAAGTAGACTCATCAGTCAATCTAACTATCTTCATAAATTGGCAGTTAAGAAATTATCAGAGACCCCAACAAGAACCCAATTATTCTAATATGATATATACTTAACTAAATTTCCCAATCTGTAACTTTTATGTAAAAATCTAGCTAAGAGCACTGACCCATGCTAAAGAAAAAGAAATTTCAATCTCCTATCAAGTGAACAGGAGAAGATGAATAGAAACATTTTCCTCTTACTGCCAACATACAAATTTATGAAAACAAGACATAGTCAAAGTTCCCATTAAGAGGCTGTTAACTAACAGAATAAGAAAGCAGGAAATATATGGACATTCAGACCATAAGGTTTGATCCTCTGTCCAGGGAACATCTGGCTCTTAGAAACCTCCTTCTAAGTCAGGACAACAGGCCAAACTCAGGGGCCTTACCTTGACTATTTGAATTCCCATCGAGTCATCATCAGGATTACTCCTTTCATTGAAAGTGAAGCGCATGGTTTTGTCCCAGTCAATAGCTATACTGTGCAAATAATGATCTGCCAAGGTCAACCAAACCTGAAATATTAATAAAAAAGAACACTAAAGTAAAATATACAGTTTCACTTTTATTAAAAAATAATTATTGCATCTGATGAAAAATGAGAGCTGATCCTAGACCAAATATAGCCCACTATTCATTTCAACTTTCATTGACATGTTTGCTAATTGCACCACTTAAGGCCATTTATTCTTTCCATTAACATTTGTTGAGCTTCTACTATGCACCAAGCAGTGATCCAGCCATTAGAAATCCTGTTAAGAAAAAAAAAAAAAATCTTCAACTCTTATTTGAGTTCACTGATTAGCTATATCATCTTCTGAGCTTGCCATAGTTGGCTTTGAATTCTCTCCGTACTTGTACAAGAGCTACCTGGTCATTCATGGAGACTGGGTCTTTTTTCACCACGGAGTGGCCTGTGCCTTTAAATCATCCCTCAATCTCTCTCTCACAACACACAGGTGGGGCCCCATAATGAATAACTTTTTTAAAAAGAGTCACTGGGTATTTTTATTCTGTTGATTACTTTATCCTGAAAAGCTGTTTCTGTAAGATTTTTCATGTATATTTTGAAGAACCGCCAATGTTCAAACGCAAAGGGCATTAAGACTAGGTTCATAAATGAATATACCAAGGAAGCACGTCGAGTTTTAGTATTTGAACATACTTTAGCAGGATTAACAATGATCAATATCTCCAGCCAGAATTTTGTCCCAAGGATCATATACCTTATATTCATAACAGGAATCCATGTCAACTCAGCCTTCAGAATAAATTGAGAATCTGATCCCTTTTCTCCATCTCCATCACTGCAACCCTGATCCACATCTTGCCTGAATTATCTCAAGTCTCCCATTGATCTCCCTGCTTCTGCCTTGTCCCTCCTATTATTAAGCCGGAGAGGTCCATTTAAAATATAAGTGTTATCATGTTACTCTCCAGCTCAAAATTTCCCAATGCTTCTCTCTCTTCCCATCTCAGACTGGGTAAAGGTCCTACTATGGCCCATAAGGTCTCCATGATCTGTCATCCCCCTCTTCCATCACATTTACCTCTACTACTCTCTCTCCAGTAGCTTTCCCCTGTGTTCACTGAGCTTCACTGAGCCACCCTGACCTCTTGCTTTTGCTTGCATACCCCTGAGATGCCCTTACCTGAGGGTGTTTCCTCTGTTTGAGGTGCTCTTCCCCCAGGTAGCTGCCTCCTCCGGGCTCACTTCCACATCTAGGCCCTATTCAAATGTCACCTTGCTATTTAAAATTCCACCTCCTTACCTCCATTCCTCCACTCTGCTCTCATTTCTTTCTCTGCTTTATTTTTATGCATGACACTTATCATCATCTCACATACTTTATATTGAATTCATTGTAAGCTCCATGAGGACAAAAACTTTGGTTTTATCCTCCCATTCCTGTATCCTCAGTACATGGAACAGTACCTTGGCACAGAATACATAATAAATGCCTATTAAATGAATAATGAAAAGAGACAGCTTTTGAATTACTAAATCTAGAATATTCTTTTGGACATTTCAGACATTTTAAAGAGGAACAGAATGCTGATCTTTTGTATTTTAGCCCTAGGAATCCTTCTCACCTTTCTCCTCCATTCCTTTGGTATTCCTGTTGATAGCCTGGCAACTGCCTTGAGAGCATCATACCACTAGGAACACAGAAGAAACATTGGCAAAGTTAGAATATTGACCTGGATAAGCACTTTCAAACCTTTTTCCCATTTCGACATCCAGAGAGTATGATAAAACTTGTACAGCACACTGAGGTAAACAGAGCTTCTTTCAGCCAGGCTCCAAGTCCTATGCACTCCCCACCTTAGGTACTCTTAACACACCTATGACCCATATGCACACACAAGGGTTGGGAAGCTAGTTCAGAAACAAAAACATGTATTATGGATTCAAAATCATACATATTCAGTTCTTATAATTTTTTCACAACTTGCACCATTAATAGAAAGTAAAAAATTTTTCATTGCAGATATAAACCCAGGCTCATAATTTATCTGTAATTTTAAAACTGACTCACCCAACATGTATCAAAGTACATGCTAATTTTCCCACTTTGAGGACGTAGCTCAGTGTATCTTGTATATATACCCCCATATAAGAGTATTTTCAAAACCAAAAATAAAGTTACCTGCTGAAAACCATTTTGACCTAAAGATGGCTCAAGAGTGAACTTCAACTTTGTGTCAACTCCTAGAAGAAAAATACATAACTATTATTTTGGAAAAAAATAACAAGTTAGATCAAAAATAAAAATAAAAATTAACCTGATTCTACTGAGTCATAAAATTTTTAAAACATATTTTTATTAAATTTTAGTCCATTTTGTTAAATAGATTCTTTAAATAGAAAAATAGCCTATGGCCATTAGGATGGTGGCTTCCACAGTTGTCTGAAATAGAGTAAAAAAAAAAATGACACCACAGGTTTGGAGTCACTCAGATCCCCGCTCCACTTTGGTTCCTAGTGTCAAATTTTTAATTTGTCTCAGTCTCAAATTTTTTTTTTTGAGAGAAAGAGAACACATTCATGCATGCGTACATAGGAGGTGGGGGCAGAAAGAGAGCAAGAGAGAAAGAATCTTTTAAGGTTTTATTTATTTATTCATGAGAAATAGAAAGAGAAAGAAAGAGAAAGAGAGAGAAGTAGAGACCCAGGCAGAGGGAGAAGCAGGCTCATGCAGGAAGCCCGGCGTGGGACTCGATCCCAGGTCTCCAGGATCATGCCCTGGGCCAAAGGTGGCACTAAACCACTGAGCCACCCAGGCTGCCCCATGAGAAAGAATCTTAAGCAGGCTCCACACCTAGAGCAGTGTCCAGGCAGGGCCAGATCTCAGGACTGTGAGATCAAGACCTGAGCCGAAACCAAGGGTTGGTCTCTTAATTGACTGAGCCACCCATATGCCCCTCAATTCATCTTTAAATTGTGGGTAATAATATCTTTCTCAGTGGATTGTTATTTATGAAACTTAGGAAGAGAGATCTCTCCTTACAGAATTTGTTTTCTAAGACACGTGCATGGACTAAGTCTACGAAAGAAACTTCTGTGAAATGTTAAAAGTTATCAAAACAAGGTCACCACCTTCTCACTTGTGGACTAATCCACCTCAACAATCTTATTTGGAGATTTTCATGTATCTTAAAATTCTGTCATGATGCACTTGCTCATTGATGATAAAACATTTGGTATTTTTAATCATAGACTACAAGCTAAAAATATAACTGATCTCTAATTCCAAGTTATCTACGACTTTAAATAAACTTCTTTGATTCCAATCCCAAATGTATGGGAGAAGAAAATAAATAGAATATATCAAGACAGTGTGTTTATAATATGCAAAGACTATATGCTATATTCATATTGAGCTTTTATTCAGAATTCCATGTTAGAAGTATGTGCTGTTGTTCTTGAAGTGAAATTAATGACAGTTTTTATTCCCATGTAAGTTTTATTTAGAATAATATAATCAAATCTGAAAAACATTTTTTCCTACAATTTCAAAATCAATTAAATCATATTTCAAGTCACTTTTTTTCTTTCCCAATTCACTTTTTAAAAAAACGTATTACTTAAAAGCTCAAAGATCAAGATATACCAAACATTATTAATAGCATTCAGTTTTACAATTTATGATTGTCATTCATGACAATAGTTTTGCTTCTAAGATGTTGATTGCAGATTAGGCATACTGAAAGCCTCCCCACAACCTCCACTACTTAGGAGTTGGTATGGAGATAGAAATGATCTTCAGAATTTAAAATTACAATAATAAAGTAGATTTGTCCTTTTATATATATATAGAGAGAGAGAGAAAGAGAGTGTGAGTGTGTCAAGCTGGAAAGAGATGTATATGATTTGCCCAAGCCCACGACAGTACGCAGAATCCCTTCTTGGGAGTCCCAGGAGAGTGCTGTGAACACAAGATTTCTAAAGTCAAGCTGTGTGGTACAGAATCCCAGGCATCCAATCAATGCCCTGATAGGTCTTTTCAAAGCTTCAGGCCACTAGCTTATTCTGCCTAAATAAAGATCTCCTTCTCCAAGGGTATATCAAGTACCCCCGCAAATTCTCATCTGTCTGAGATGGTTTCAATGAAGTCCTGCTTCAGTGCACAGCAATGACACAAGGGCCACGAGAGTGCCTCCAGCTGGAGCCAAGGATTCAGGGCACCAGGAGAAACACGCCTCGCTCTACGGTTGCTGTCCAGATGCCCGGTGCTGAACGGAGGAGCAGATAGTCATGACTTCTGCTCTGCTGGAACAACGGCAAGAGAACAAGTCCCGCGCTGACTTATTTCAACCGAAATAAGCTAAAAAGCTCATTAAAGCTTTTTTATTAAAGCTTAAGCTAAAAGCTCCGAACTCCCTGTATGTATGATCAAATACGCTCCCTCTGCTTTTTTTTTTTTTTTTTAAGAACACCTGCTGGGCATCAGGTGCTGAAAACCGACTGGGGTTAGTCTAAACCACAACTATTTTCTCATGATCTAAAATGAGTCACAGGATTTAACCGGAATTGATCATTCACCACCTGCATGCGCTCGCTGAAATCAGGTCATTTTCTCCCCTTTTCTTCTAAACTGAGTAAGGGAGGGGGAGAAGGTTTATGTTTCATCTGAAAGCCAAGGGCTGTTCCGGATTCAGAAACACAAAACACTTTTAACGTGGGAAGGAGTTTCCTTTTTTCTTTTTTTTTTCTTTTCTTTTTTTTTTAAAGGGTAAAGGAAACGATGAATAAATACTACAGTCTCTGCAATCAGACACTTCCTTGCGGAGAAAAAAAAAAGAAGAAGAAGAAAAACAAAGAAACCACCAGGTTCGTAAAGGCAGTCACGCGTTCCACCCTTTGGGGTTGCGCGCCTCGTCAGGTTCTCCCCAGCAGCTTGGGGATGAGCAGGTCCCCGATGGCGCAGGAGGCAGGGGTCGGGGGTGGGGGGGGGCAAGCCTGGAACCCCCTGCGGGTGTCACCCTGGGGACCGGCGAGCGCTGAGCGCCGGGGAGAAAACAGCCGGCTCCCTCTGCGGCCACGCGGTTGCCAGAAAGCTCTGTGCCCATCAGACCCCAGGGAGGGATGCCGGGCGGTGCAGCAGGCGCGGAGCTGCGCAGCCTAGAGGAGCAGGGACGCGGAAACCCCGCCGAGCAGCATAAAGGGCCCGGCCTAGCACGCACCGCGCGCCCCGAGCTCCGGCTACGAGAAAGGGGGTCTCCACTTGCAGGAGGGTTTCCTACCCACCCCCACGCGGGCCCGCGGACCAGACGCTCCGGGCGCTCCCGCCGCGCACGCCCTCGGGGAAATGCACCCGGTGTTCCCTTCGCGGCCGCTGCCTTCCCCTCCAGCCCCGAGCATCCAACCGGCGCCTCCCTCCTCCTCCCACGCGGCTTCCTGCGAGCCCGGAGCACAGCGGGCTGCGCGGCCTCGGGTGGCCCGGGGAGCCGCCGCCGCCGCCGCCGCCCCAACCTCCGCCGGGCGGGCAGGGCCGAGCGCAGCCGGGGCCGGGGCCGGAGCCGGAGCCGGAGCCGGAGCGCGCACAGGCCGCGGGGTCGGGACCGGGAGCAGCGGGGCCTCCCGGCCTTGGGAGGTCGCTGCCCGCGCGCAGGCCTCGGTCCGCGCTCTTCCCTCCCAGGCCGACCCCGCCCGCCGGCGCGGAGCCCCGGTAGCCCGCACCCGGGAGGGGATGGAGGGGGGGCGGGGGGTGGAGAGGGGGTGGAGGAGGGTGCAGGGGTAGGACGCCCCTTCGCAGCCCCGGGTCCTCACCCGGCTCCAGGGTGCAGAGCAGCCGGGGCGCGGTCCGGGAAATGCAGCTGCGCTTCTTGAGCACATTGCTGAGGATGGTGCCCACGCCGCCGCCGCCGCCGCCGCCGCCCTGCCGCTTCAGGCATCTCCCTCCGCGCCTCAGGGAGCCGCTCAGCTTGTCCTGCCGCATCCGGGAGCGCCCCGGGCTCGGGCGCGGCCGCGGGCCGCCTGGGGTCCCGCCGGCCTCGGCGAGGCGGCTCCGGCGAGGGGCGCGCGGGGCGCGGGGGGCGCGGGGAGCCGCGGGCGCCGCCGGAGGAGCGGAGCGCGGGGCGGCGGGCGGGCATCTGCAGTGCGGAGCCCGCGCCGCTGGGGCGGGGAAGGGGGCGGGGGACGGAGGCGGCGCGCCCGCCCCCAAGCCCCGCATCACCGCGCGCGGGCGGGGCGGCCTGGCGCCGCGGGGCCCGAGCGCAGCCGGCTGAGCCCCTGCGCCCCGGGCCGCCAGCAGCGGCGGCGGCGGCGGCAGCAGCAGCGCGGGGAGGTCCCTGTGCCTTCCCAGACCTGGGCCGGGCTGCGGGGGGGGGGGGGGCACGGCATCCCGGAGGGGCAAGTGCCCACCTCGCCCAACAGCGCCGGAGAGGACAGGTGCGGCCCGAGGCGGGGAGGCCGGCGCTCGGGGGAGCGCGAGCTTCACCCCCTCCGTGCCCGGCCCTTTCCTGGCGGCCCAGAGAGGCATGGCAGGCATGGAAAACAAAAATACTGGTTGTTTCCCTTGGAAGCATAGGCTTCAACAAAAGAATCTATACAGGTGTTCACATATAAAAGTGTTTTTTTTTAAGGGCTTCCTAAAAAATAGAAAAATAAAAATTAAAAAAAGGGGGGGGGGTGCTAGTCTCCCCAGCCGGAGACGTCGGTAGTGTAGAACTATTCACTATCATTAACTGTTCAAAACCGAACAAAAAGTCATCCTTAAGCTAGGATATTAACTAATGGAATATGAATCATTAAAAAATGGACGAGGAAATAAGGAAGGAAGGGATATGGAAGGGAATACAGAGACATGTGTATTTGCTGATGTTTGGAAAAGGAACACTACATGGGTAAGTGTTTACTGATACAAAAAGTATTTACATGAGAAGGAACCGTGTGGAAGAAAGAGACATGGAAAACTGAGGTTTTCTGGATGTTCCTTGTATACGGTTTGGGCTCTGGAATAACATATTTTAAAAAAAATGAAAATGAGTGGAAATAAATGAACCTAACTGAAAAGCCTGTTGGTGGCACAAGAATACAGAAAAAAAAAAACTTGTAAGTTGCTTTAGAATACAGTATTATGACTGTACATCCATGGTGGTATATATTCCAAGGGCAAATAAAACTGCAAAGACACCTTAACTGTCAACAAGTAGCATTACTGTAATCTGTGATATTGATGCTGTTTTTTAATTCCTATGTACACTACAGAATAAAGGAAATAATTATGTTAATGTCAAAAGGAACCAAAATCTTTTCAGGGTGACAAAATATTTTTTAAGATTTTATTTATTTATTCATGAGAGATACACAGAGAGGCAGAGACACAGGCAGAGGGAGAAGCAGGCACAGGGAGAAGCAGGCTCCATGCTGGGAGCCTGATGTGGGACTTGATCCCAGGACTCCAGGATCACGCCCTGGGCGGAAGGCAGGTGCTAAACTACTGAGCCACCCAGGGATCCCCAGAGTGACAAAATATAAGTATACAAAGAAATTAAGGTTTTTTTAAATCCTACAATATTATATTTAAATTGGAAATATCAGTATAAACTCATCTCTTTTTTTATTTCAAAAATACATACACAGTTGATCCTTGAACGAGGAACAATGAGAGAGTTAGAGATGCAAATCTTCTCCCTTCCCCTCCCATAGTAGAAAATCTGCAAATAAATTTTGGCCTTCCAAAAACCTTACTAACAGCCTGCTATTCACCAGAACCCTTACCAATAACATAAACAGTCAATTACTGCATATTTGGATGGGCACCTGGCTGGCTCAGTTGGTAGAGCATATGACTCTTGATCTCAGGGTTGTGAGTTCAAGCCCCATATTGTGTGTGGATATTACTTAAAAAATTTTTTTTAAAATCTTAAAAACCACATATTTGGCATGGTCTGTGTATTACATATGTATTCTTAGAATAAAGTAAGTTAGAGAAAAAAATCTTAAGCAAATCATACAGAAGAGAAAATGCATTTACAGTACTTCTCCAAAAAAATCCGCTTATAAAAGAACCCATGCAGTCCATGTAGTTCAAACCCATGTTGTTCAAGGGTCAACCGTATATCCACTAAGTAGGTTTAGAACTAAGGACAACTCAGCAGCAGTGAATACCCGCAGTGCCCAGGTTGTGGTCTCTAAAAAAGCATCCCCCACTAAAAAGAACCAGGGCTCCTTTGAAGTGTGACTGATTCTAGGTCTGAGCCAGCAAAAAGTACAAGATGAGCCTGAACCATTTTGATGAACTAAGGAAGTGCTCCAAGACTAATGGGGTCATGTCAAAAGGACCTAAGAGCCACATGAATAGGCCACTATTGGTCAAAGATGGAAATTTTTGAGCATCAAAAACAATGGCTGCTATTGATCGAAAAGTATTGAGTATTTTTAAAAAGCATTCCTAATGATACTCTGAAAGAGCTGGAAAAGAAGTCATTCTTACGACTCCGGCATACTTATTGGGAATCAGTACATCCTGGGCTTTGTGAAGTAGCCCCAGAATTTGAGGATGATGTCAGAAATGATACGACTCTACACATGAAATATACATTTTATGTATAAGAATCAGTTAAAATGAGATTGTTAATCTGTGAAAGTAAACCTGGCTCAGAGGCAACATATAAGCTACTCAGGTATGCCAGCCCCACTAGAGGGAAAGTGCTTTGAAAAGGCAACACCCTGCCTCATCACTTGAGAAGATGAAGTCATTGTTTCACTCGGTCATGATTAACTGTTTGGTTTAGATTTCCCAACGTTTTATACCCAGCTCGGGTACAAAAATGTATCCTTCATCAGCCTGATGATTTCATAGTTTCAGTACTTGTTCATTTCTTTAGCTTTCTCTTAATTTTAACAAGATGTCCATTGACTATTCCAGCCTGTTATTGCTGAGAACAATAACACAAAGAGAACTGATGTTTGGCTCTGGCCATTTTTTTAGAGGGCACCACAGGCCCCTGGGGGTGAAGATGATGATTAACGGCCAGTGTCAAAGGAAGAGACCTGGAAGGAGACGGAAAATCCAAGAAAAGAAGCTGGTATCTGCATGCACAATCTCGTCTTCCAGAGCTCTCATCTGCTCAAACCTTAGAGGGTTTTGTGTTCTCTTTCAACAAGAGAAGCTATTCACACTCCGTTTCCAGCACTGGGCCAGCAGGAAAGACTGCCTCTGCAGCCAAGAGGAGGAGCAATGAACTCTGCTCTAAGATACTGCCTCTGAAGTAGAAAGGACATGGAGCTCCCACAGCTGGTGGACATGTGCCACTCAGACCATCATCTCCCCTCCCTTTGGCTCAGACTCCACGCTCACCAAGCAAACAGTGAGTGTCATCTGACTTCCCCACAGATTTTGCTGCAAAGGAGAAAATGTACTGACCTGTTAGCACCGCAGTCAATACTCCTGAATTCACTCAACTCTCAGTGAGCTGAAAAAAAATCAAACTTCTGGACTGCCAAAACTGAATCTAGACCCTAGATTGCCAAGCCACCTAGATCTGTCATGGCTGACCAAAAGCCCTCTCCTTGAAGCTCTTCTTCGGTTGCAATACTTTTTTTTTGCTATCAGTCACAGGGGCTTGTTGATAAAAATTCCATTTCATCTCAGATTTATTAGAAGGAAAAACTGACTCTTAAAAAGTTTCTGGGCACCTGAGTGGCTCATGGAAATTGAAAACAGAAAAAAAAAAAAAAGAGGGGGGGCTTGAAAGTTTCTACTATTATACCAATAAATAGCAAGGGAATTAAATAACATAATTCTGTTTACATTGGCGAGGAAAGCCAAGATTGCCAACTTTTATAGCAAACAGATAATTAAACAAGCACTAAAATACAGTGGTCCAAACACAGTCATGGCACAAGCCTAGTATTACACTTATTATGACTCATAGTTTCTTATTCATGTCTGGAATATTGTTTTCTAGAAGCAAGAGATGTCACCTGAAGTCAACTTGCAGTGGAAACAATGCCAGCATAGACTTTGCTTGAAGCTCTCAGGTGGTAATATTTCCAGCCAAGGCCAACTGCACATGCCTCTTTTCTAATCGAGTGATCTTTATGAAACATATAAAATCAGTGAATTCACATTTGGGCACATCGTATCTTGGCACAGTCTGGAGAAATTACAATTTAAGCTGAATTTGGGGAAAGGAAGGCTCAGTGAAAACCTCACACTGGCTGAGAATCTTACTTGGATTGCCAAAGGAACAGCCTGCATGCCTCACATGGTCGGATCCCCGTGGGACATCCCCAGAGATGGAAGTTCCCAGGCTGACCCAAGAAGTAGGAGTCGTTTGGCTACCTCTGCACCTCAGGCCTATGAGCTGGGAGTGAGGCTTCCTTGAGAGCAAACTATTCCTTTAATGGGAGAAGGAGGAAAAGGTCAGAAGGAACAAAAAACCCCACTTCAGGAATAAAAGCTCTGTCCCAAGGGGCTTCCAGACAGAAATCAGGTCTGTGACTTCTGCGGTTTCCTAACACTGCTATTTTTGTTTAACAGTAAAATCTTAAAATAAAAAGGGGCTACGTGCTTATCTTCAGGGACTGAACAGAACAAGGAGTGACAATTACCAAGAGAAAAAGCCCTGGGAGCCTGCTTTGAGAAGAGAGAAGAACCACAGGGAGCTGGCTTGCTCAGGGGGAAATGGCCCTGGAATTCATCCTGACAGCTGGCAGGTGTTCAGGAGCATACAAGTCTCTGAGGGTCAGTAGAGATCTTACCAGAGAGCAGGTCTAGTGTGTCTCCCACTGGGCAGACCTGGGGATGGGGGTACATCTTTGCAACCCCGCTAATGAGAAAGGTCTGGTGGCCTCAAGCCACTCTTCTCTCCCCACAACTTTTGGAGGTCTGTGAGCAAATCCTGAATAGTAAAAATAACGTCTCCCCTAAGGGGACAGTAACTGTGGCCAGAGCTGTAGGAAGCTGATACTCTGCTCAGACCTACCTAAAAGTACGGCCTTAATAAGTAGTTCCCGCTGCCCATTATCCAGGATGAGAAGCCCACATATGAGCTCATGGTGATGGGCTTAATAATCATCTTCCCCTCGTGAAAGAGGCACA